AAAATGACTGAAAATTGCAAATTTCGCAAGGCTATATTATTCGCATTTTACAACATTTCGCAACGAAACTTTGGAATATTACTAATTTTGTGATGCTCTTCAGTCATGCTATGATGGAATTTTGTCTGGAGTTGTTGAGATCAAAATTTTGGTTAATTGGGGAATGGTCCATTGTCAACACGTCTTCTATGAAGGGCTGTTAACATGATCCTGCTTCGCTGGGGTGAGGGATAATTTTGACGTATTGAAATAAGTCACGGTTCATGATTCAGCAAAACTGTATTATTTTCCTAGTGATAGACAATCTCGTACCCAGGGATCATGTAAACATCCCCTACGTTGACCGCCAGGTTAGCACTATTTTCCATCCAGCAAACTGACCTGACATCATTTTCGGAAGATGGAAGAGGTGTTATATGGCTATGTAACTAACCCAAACCCTACCCCTACTCTAACCCTAACAGCAACCCTAACTGTAACCTTAACCAAATTAATAACATAAATCCAAAAAGAAACAACTTTAGAAAATCGCTAGGGCGGTTTGCTGGATGGAAAATAGTGCTAACCTGGCCACCATCGTCTGCCCCATAATGCTTGCTGAATTCACATACTGTACATACATGTATGCTCTAGTTAGTGTAAATAAACGATTTGAAAAAATTAGACTTCAAAAATATGTTACATGTTAGCCTTTACTCTTTGATCTAAAGATAGATAATTGGACAGGTCTATCTGGAGGAAGTTGGGCAAAGAAAAGATAGTATGATAATTCTTCTGTATATATACAGTAAAATGTGACTGACGGATAATTTAGAGATCAGTGGGTCATCTGTTAAGGCATTCTTCGGAAACAATATTTAGGCTAATTTAGCTATCCTTGACCCACACTTATCGCCAAAGAGGAAGCGCCTTCAACGGATATTATTTCGTCTGTTTCCGAGTCTTGGATAGCCATTTCGAGGTAGTTCATTCCGTCTCGTATTAAAGAACGCAACACTACTTCTCAAATTCATTACTGTAATAATTCATGAGCAATTCAGCCAATGATAACATCTATTTGATCACAAGATGCAATTTGGATAACCCGGTGAAAGTTGATGAAAGTCACTAGTGTTTTCATCAAATATCTTAATTACGCATGCAAAATTACTTGAACAGAATCCTCAATATTGAGAAATCCTCTCTGAGAAAACCTCAGAATTTTCGAAACCCTTTTGTGTGTCTTTAATGAAGTATTTCGAAAGAAATTTTGTATTTTCGGTTCCTTCGGAAAATATAAATATATCTAATAAATTGAATGCTAGAATTGTTTTCTCTGGCTTTGATTGGTGACATATAACGAAGAAGGATATAATAGAAACTATGGTACTAACACGAAATCAACCATCATTTCCAAAAAAAGGAAATTTTAATTATTATAGAAATTAATAGGAAATTTCTTATCGAATGATTGCGGGCGCAGATTTAAAGGCCAGGCGCCATTTTTGAACGTTACATTTCTATATTGAAAATTGTTGTTTCTGACAGTTGTATTTTAAACTCTTTAATATGAATGATGCGACAGGGAGAAAACCCATTCCGTGATATAAGACATATTAATAAACCTGAAATGAAAAGTATAAATCTGTGCGACATGCAACTTCTATGATGAATTGATGACGTGTTGATCGATCATGGATGATATCAGAATATTAGAAGCAAAGTTACTTCAAAGTGAAACTGAAAATCAGAGGCTACGAGAACAACTCCATGGCTTGATTTTGCTTGTGAAAAAGTAAGTGCAATTTAATCTGCGACGTAGAGACGTGCCGTATACTGTATTGCCGTGTACCGAATGTTACCAGAATAACCGGATGGTAGTCTACATGTACCAGGCTCAATACCAGTCATGGCCTCAAGTCGGTGATCCTCCTGGCAATTCAGGGGAGATCACTTCCCATAATGCCGGCTGATAATTGAGCCCAGTAGTCTACCAGGTACTGGTTAGGAAAAATGGTAACCAGATTACAAATAATAACCAGATAATGGATGCTAATGGGGATGCTTGAACAATACTTTTCCCCACAATACTGTATGAACATAATACTTTCTGATCTATGCGAAAAATCTGCTATCAAATGGGTGACCCTGGGTTACCATCTTAGCTCCTCCCCAACCTCCCACCACCATTCCTTACATACATTTACAAATCCCCATTACATGCAGTATAAATCTCTGATAATATGTTGTGTGTTTTAAATTTTTCTAGAGCATGGACTGGTGATCACAGTGCTGCAATTGATGTTGCTTTGATTGTTGGTGAGTGAGATCTTTGGGACTTGCATCTTTCTGTGTGTTGAGCTACTAAAGTGGTTATAGGGGGTTGACAAATTTATAGATTGCCTCACAACCAACTTGTTCCACCAGAAGTCCAACTTCTTGTCAACGCCTATACTTTTAGATGATTTTGGTGTAACTGTTACAATGCTGTTGCTATGTTCCATAGCTGTTGCCATGTTCCATAGCTGTTGCCATAATCTACTGGCATTCATTCTCCTGAAAATATGCAAAATGGTGAACATTCAGTCGAGGTGAATGCCTCTTGTAAGTGCACTGGCTAGGAATAACATGCATTTTGATGATGAATCATTGAGCATCATGGCTACATGTCAGCAGTTACGCTTTCTTGGCTTCTGTGTGGCTTTATTCTGTGACAAGACTCTTGGCGCACTATCTCATTTTTTTATGTTTTCTATGTTTTCAATTTTTTCTTTTGTTAATTTGTACAGGTGTGGCTCGACCAACCTTAGAAGTTTCATCTATGACAGATGAAATGGTTGCTGTTCCTAAGGTATTATATTTCATACTTTAATTATTAATACTTTGGGGCCTTCAGCGGTGCAGCAAAGAGGCTAATCAGCCTAGACCCAGGGCCTAATTATGCCAGAGCCTGGCTTACGAGTTACGAGTTCCAAATTATACAGCAATTTACAGCAGTGCAGCAAAGAGGCTAATCAGCCTAGACCCATGCAGGCTAATCAGCCTATAGACCTAGGGCCTTTTATTTATATTTGATTGCATGAGAATGAAAGTTGGCAAGAGAGAGTTTGAATGAGAGTTTTCTTAACTCTCATGCCCCAGTCTAATGGGAACCAGAAAACCCCATAATACAGGTGACATTGCCTTAAAATATAAATTATACATAATGAAATAGGGATATACACATAAATAATACATAATTGAAATAGGGAAATGGAAAGCTACTCCAGTTTCCCTGGAGACTGTTACTGCCTATTTTGTCATTGTACACCATTTCGCTTAAACTTCTGCATTTATTCAAATGAACAGTCTCCATGTATAAACAACTGGTTCAGACTAACAGTTGGACTCATCAACAAGGAGTACAAGGAGAAACAAACAACAGCCAAAGCACAGCAAATGTTACACTTTCGGAATCGAGAAGCTTTCATTGACGAACAAATGGAGAATTCAACATACAACAGGGAGCCGAAACCTGGGGAAGTGGAACGAAGAGCAAGTTTATTACATGACTTAGTTGTAAGTGTTTTTGAGCTTCATTTCAAACCCAATGTAAATTAATTATACAGTGGAATGTACCTTTCCTAACAGACACCTCTCAAATAATCCTAATCGTCTTGCAAGGCATGAACAACAATTCTCAAATTTAAAAGCATATATATGCACTCTACAGTAGCTATACTAAAGTAAAAAACGAGTTCCGAAAAACAAATTTCGAAAAGTTGTGTTTTACTTTAAATTGTCAGCTGGTCATGGTTTTTGGACTAGCTATACTGTATAGACAATACTGTTTGGCATATTATTTATTGATATTTGATATGATTTACTCAATTATGGATGCCAGGAGTCAAAATGAAATCGGAAAAAATGATCAATTGTCATTTGGTTGGACATTTTTTCTGAGCAATTTTTAGAACACTTCTGTAAGCCCAGCCCTAGGCTAAAAAATATTACCTGGGTTTCCCAACCTTTTTCTACCTATAGAGTAGCTTTTGGCCACTGAAATCACATGACCCTTTTATCTGAAGTTTGCAAAACCCCATTTCGTGATGTTAGTGATCTTAATTTCTATAACCAAATTCCCCATGTCCTTCTCATTAACCCATTTACTGATTTAGCGTTTTTTAATTAAACAAAAAATATAAACTAATTGTCTTTCTTATTATATTTCTACAGGAAAATGAAAATATAAAAAGAAATGAATTAAAACTAAAACTTGGAATGTTAAGTCCTGAGACTCCAAGTTTGAAACCTAAGACTAGAGTCAGTTCAGCTAAACTTGCGAGAAGTTCAAAATCAACCAACACTGAGAAAATGGACGAATGTTTGGTTTTTCAATCCAGGTCTACTGGAGCATCAAAGGTATAATCAGGGCAGTATAATGTATTGATAATTAACACTTTTGCCCAAATACCTCGTTCTCATGTTTGTTTGTTTTGGCGTATAGAAGACGTACATTATTTTATCCCTATGTATGTTTCGTGTGACGGATACGTTTCTCTTTGATTTTGAGCCCGACCACAAGCCTATCATCCTTAAGGTTACAGAACACCTTTGAGTGTTAATTTTGCCTAAAATTTTTTTATTGGTTTTCATGAAAGCATTAGACTAGTTCTACTATCTGACCAAGTTTGAACGAAAAATGTTGAAAACTCGCAGAGTTATTTAATAAAATACATTTCGCTGCAATAAGAAAAACATTGAAAATGTAATATTCAAATTCAATTTTCTCCCGAAAAAGTTTACGGTAATTAGTGATATTCAAACGAGTTGTGCTCCTGCGGGTTTTAACCAATTTTTCTCAAATTTTCACAGGACATAGCTAAAGACGTCAGTTTCAAAATTGTGTTCGGCTTTTTTTTAATTTTGGATATTTTAAAAATAAAGAGCAATTCATTCAAACAATTCAGAAATATATTGCAGTCGTCAAAGAAATCGCCATATCAGCGGAATGACGCAATAAACAAAAATTTCCGAACACAATTTTTTAGAACAACTATTTTACTGTATAAAAATGATATTTTCATAAATATAACTTAAAACCAGCAGGAGCATAACTCAAAAGCGTAACGGTACCGCGATTTAAGATTTTCCTGAATAATTCTTACATTATTTTATTGTTTGTTAATTTTAAAACTTTACCATATTTTGCATGCACTGGAGAACATTTGGTGAAAATTTGATGAAAATCGGACTGATATTGAGCGCGCAGTAGCGATTTTCCGCAAAACGCCAAAAAGGGTGTCCTGTAACCTTAACCCAACATGAGGAAATAACGACATTAAAACGAGGCCATTGGCATTGAGGCAAGAGTGCAATAAACAGCTAGCACAGTCATTCTCTTTATTTATCCGATATCTTTGATCCTTATAACTAAGTTCACCTAAAATAACTGTTACAACTCTATTACTGTCTATTGGTAAGTATAAATAATGGCATTTTTAATTCAGGAACGGCAATTACCACTAGTGACAGAAAAGCGGCCAATGTCAGAAGAAAAGCACAAGATCCGGGCGAAATCTGCAGGTATACATGATGTAGACGTTTATATTTAACTAGTGTATGTATTAATTGAATGGGCAATTCCAGCTATATCAAGACTAAATTTTGATCTAGGCAAGAAGAACAAAATCCATCACCACAGCTAGAAAGAGCATGTTAAAATTAGTAAAAGCAAAGTTTGGTTGCGAAATGTTGTAAAATGCGGAAAATAGAGCCCTGCAAAATTTGCTAATTTTGTATTAGCTTGTATTGCAGTTTACACGCGGGAAAATGCACCGCATTTGGGCCGAAAGTGATGCAAATTCTTCCCGTGCGTCGTCGTACAAATTAATACAAAATTTGCAACTTTTGCAGGGCTATATTTTCCGCATTTAACAACATTTTGCAACCAAACTTTGCAATTTTACTCATTTTAACATGCTCTTTCTAGCTGTGGTGATGGATTTTGTTCTTCATGCCTAGATAAAAATTAGTGTATAGCTGGAATCGGCCCATTGTCTGTGGTTTACTCTACTGAAAAACCTACAGATACACAACAGTGCACGCTGTCGGAAGCAACTGAATTGTTCTGGCGGCATGCTGATCCAGAAACATTTTGCGTTTCCGAAGCCTCAAAAGAGCATTTTCCGTGTTTACAGTACTGAGCTCGATTGCCAGCAACCATGCTAATGCATTCCAAATTAGGTCGGTATTACTGTAGTTGTTACGACGTGTGTCAGGATTCACTGATTCTCTGTCTGTTGTGTTTTTCCCTGTCCTAACTGGTAGTTTCAAGAAATAGAATGAATATCTTTCAGAAAAATGTATTTATTTATATCATTATATGTGGTGTATCTTCAAGACTAAGTACAGAATGCAACTATCTGCAGCCCTGTATAACCTGCAGCCCTGCAGATCCGGCACAGCGCTCTAACCAACTGAGCTTGTATGTACCAGATTGGCATCACCTTAGTATCTACAGGGTGTATAAAAAAAACTGCACAGATTTGAAATTGCTCTTAAATTCGCAAAACAGCTATTAGTATCCAGTTTTTGATGTATATAGCTTCTTTGGGTACTTATAATGTAGAAAAATGGGAACAATTTCTCGAACTCAAATTTTGTAAACCAGGGGGGAGGGTGTCTTTTCCAACAAACTAAAAATGGCTTGCGCACGAAATTTAAAAGCTTTATATTAATCATATTTTGAGTTGATAGATGGAACATTTGTTGGGTTTCTTAATTACTGTACAAAATTTCAGACAATTTGCTTTAGTTTAAGCCTTTAACTATTCATTTTTCTTTAAAAAATTAGCCTTTCGCATGCTTAATTAATGCCTTTACCTAATTTGCATATTGCTGACATATGCAAATTTTTTAAGAAAAAATGTAAGTTTGCGCGAATGGTTAAAGGGCGTAAACTGAAGCAAATTGTCTGAAATTTTGTACAGTAATTAAACACCCAACACACTTTCCATCTGTTAACACCCAACACACTTTCCATCTCTTAAAATATGATTAAAGCTTTTAAATTTCGTGCGCAAGCCATTTTTAGTTTGTTGGAAAAGACACACACCCCTGGTTCACAAAATTTGAGTTCGAGAAATTTTTTCCATTTTTCTACATTATAAGTACCCAAAGAAGCTATATACATAAAAAACTGGATACTAATCGCTGTTTTGCGAATTTAAGAGCAAATTTCAAATCTGTGCAGTTTTTTTTATACACCCTGTATTTATACATGAACTTGTGTTTAGAGCTCGACAACTGTCTCTCTGTACTAGAGCTCAGTTGGTTAGAGCTCTGCACCTGAATCGCAGATTCGATTCCTGCGAGAGGGCAGATAGTTGCATTTTTGCAACTGCTCCTGCTTAGGTCTGATAAAGTATAAAAATTCCACTCGAAATTTATCATCTACAGGCCTGTTCACACTTGCAATTTTTACTGCGATTTCTAGTGCAATCTTCTTCTGATGGATGTGAACGAGTAGATGAGTTATGAATGTTCTGAGTACATGTACCCTCATCTGAACATTCATAACTCATCCACTCGTTCACATCCATCAAAAGAAGAAAATCGTAGTAGAAATCACAGCAAAAATTGCAAGTGTTAACGGGCCTTACAAATCCCGTCAACAGCTGGTTATATCGAATGAGATGATATTTACCCATACATACAGGTAGAAGACGACCTGGATCAGCAATTACTGCATCAACACCAGGCAAGACAGAACGACCCAGGTCTGGTATTAAGAAGACCAATAAAGGTAGGATCGAAGATAAACTAAACAAAACCGAAAGTGATATTGCACTGACTGTACAGCTGTTGCAACAACGCCTTGGAATCGATGGGAGAGGGATGGTGTAGTGGTAGGACTGGTGGTGGTGGTCAAGTCTGTAATATAGGTGTACTGAGTTGCAGAAAAGCTGCGGGTACAGTATATGCGGGTACAAGGTTTACCATACTGTATGTGAGGTCAGTGAAGAAGGTTTAATGTGGAACACTCGGCTCAACATTAACACCATAAAAAAATGTGACTGATGCTTACTGTATGACTAGGCTGGTTGATGTTGGCTGGATGCATATTCTGCCGGAGTTGGAAAACTCCAGCCAAAACTCCGGCAGACAAAATTATTTCTTCCTATTTCAATGAACTTTTGGTAATGGAAGAATTAAGTTGTTGAATGATTTGAAGTTACTATAAAGTTTAATTATTTGCTCCGATCAGTTTCGTAATTCTAACTAACTTTTCTTATTGGACATGACTGAGTGAGACTGTGAGTGACTGGTTTCAGTTACTAGCTGACTATCCTTGACGAAGGGTCTTTGTCTTTGTCATTTTGCGCGAAACGTTGAGTCGACAGTCGTTGATTGTTTTCACTCATAAACTAGCTGATATATTAATTTTATTTAATAATATATGGTTTCAACGAAAAAATAAAATAAATTCTGAAATTACACTGAAATACTTCTGCTTCCACTTTTAAATATAAAATTTCCTTAAAATTTTCTTGCTGTAGCCGGAGATTTGACTGCCGGAGCCGGAGCTAAAATAACGTTATCGCTGTTATTGCTTCGCAACGTCCGTGAGTCAATAACGTCTGTTCACCCATGCAATGGAGCATTTAAATCATGCGTGGATCAGTTGTGTGAGGTACTGAGGTGTTAATAGGCTTACTGACCGCTTATTTTAAACAGCCATGACAATTTGGCTCTATTAGACCAGTTTAAATATCTTAGCTACGGTGTCAAAATTAATCGCGTAGATTAAATTTTTGATGGGATTTGTACCTGGAAATTTCGAATTTTTTAAATTTGCAAAGTAGGTCTAATAAATGTATAAAAATTCAATTTCCAAATCTCTTCAACAATTCTATCGAGTTGGGATGACCACAATCCTAATTTTTTTATGTCCACTAATGGACCAGTTGCATTATAGACTAAATTTTGATCTAGACGGCAAAAATTTCATCACAGCTTGAAAGAGCATCACAAAATTAGTAATATTCCAAAGTTTCGTTGCGAAATGTTGTAAAATGCGGATAATAAAGCCTTGCGAAGTTTGCCGTTTTTCAGTCATTTTGTATTACAAACGGGAAATTGTGCCCCAACACCCGATTGGGCTGTCAATTTCCCGTGCGTAATACAAAATGACTGAAAAACGGCAAACTTCGCATGGCTATATTATCCGCATTTTACAACATTTCGCAACGAATCTTCGGAATATTACTAATTTTGTGATGCTCTTTCAAGCTGTGATGAAATTTTTGTCTAGATCAAAATTTAGTCTATAATGCAATTGGTCAATTCTGGAACACAGGTATTGCATTTTTGGGGAACCCTGCATATATAATTTTAATGGGGTTTTCATTCTCATTTTATAGCACGTCTATACAGTTCCATTTTGTAGATAATCAATTTTCAATCCAACCCACGGGCAAAAATTTACGACTCACACGGATAAGATCAAATGAAAGTGACAGAAAGAATTAGAGCAGTTTGCAGTTGTTTTTGCAAACCGGGCACCGTGCGAATTTTGCCTTTTCACCCATTTGTCGTGCTTCATTTGCCAAATCAAAAGAACGAACGCGTGCTAACAGTGCGCGCAAACAGTGCGTGCAAAGCAGGCTGGCCATTTCCCATTGTTTAACTGCCCCACACTCAAGTGACCATCCGTGAGTCAAAAACCATATATAGTATAATCTAAGTCCGGAAGACATGACATGCCATTAGTATTTAGTATTGAAGGATTTTTGCAGATGCAAATCTCGTGTGTGAATTTTATACATTTTTGGTCCTAACCTGAGGTGCAGCTGCGAAAAATGCAACTGTAGGTATCTTGCAGGAATAGAACCTGCAGCGCAGCGCTCTAACCAACTGAGCTACATATATTAAGGTGATGCCAGGATTGTCAATGTAAGGTAGTTGGGGGCATTTCGCTCGATAGAGTTCATATTTGAAGATGGAAATCTAGAGTGTAAATTTTATACATTTTTATCGAATGACATGCCATATTATATAATAACGTGAAGAATTCAAACGCTTTCATTGGTGGAGAGCCATGATCAATAATAGGACAGACACACGGAATTACGTCACCCAAAACCTTATCCAATAGCATTCCCTTATTTGTACAGATCATGTACGCGTGGTATTTGTAAAATTTGGACTTTTTTAAATTTCCAAATGTTTGGGTGGATAAAGAGTAAGCTATTTACCTGTTTAATTCGGGGGGGGGGGTCTTTTTATTATATGAAACAAATAGATAAGATTTTGCCGTAGTCTGTTCAGTTATAGATACCGGAGTATATGGCATCATAATTCCAGACGTTATCCACATTATGACGTCATACTGTATCTCTATAACTGAACAGACAACAGCAAAATCTTATCTATTTGTTAAAATGATATCACCCTAATATAATTACCTCAACTTGCCGTTGGAGCTCGACAACTGGATTCTGTAGATCAGTTGGTCAGAGCACTGCACCGGAATCGCAGGGCCGAAGGTTCGATTCCTGACACAGGGCTTATATAGTTGCATTTTTTGCAGCTGCTGCTGGGCATGTCTGAAAATGTTTAAAAATTACACCTGAGATTTCCATCTGCGAAAACCTTCAACATTGTGTTAATTCTATCGAGTGAGATACCCCAAAATGCTGACTGATTAGGATTTATGAGCTGTCATGGTTTGTGCTTGAACCACCTGGATGGGATCAAGATCTCTTCGCCAGACTGCTGACATTTCGAAGTGTTTTTTCAGGCCTTAAAATATATTGTACAGGGCCGTCTGACAAAATGTCCGATGACTTCTGTATGATGATGTCCGATGACCTTCAGTTCAGTTTGGTTCGGAAATAAGTCTGAATGACACAAATCAGTATGAGCACAAAATTATAATGTATTAATTCTGAACCAAATGTTGTGAAGATATTAAATAAAATGTGTCATTCGCGTGCTTATTTGCAAGCCAAAATTAATTTGTTTGGGTATACATTTTGATTTACAAAGCTACAGTTTGGTCGGACACCAATGCACTCGCGGGTCGGACAAACAATAAACCTCAGTTTCACTTAGGTCGGACAGTATGCCCGGTGGTTTCCTCTCTACGTCGGACAATTTCACGAATGCCGAATGGGTCGGACAATGTCCGTGCCCGACCGATATTTAAGGCCTGGTTTTAATCTCTTTTAAGTATTTCATGCAGCTATAGACTAATGCAGACAAATCACGGAAGCTTATTGTCGAATAAATGGAACACGCACTGGCCCCCTTGAAGCATTCGAATTTTCTGATTTCGATGAAACGATCGCAATTTGAAATGCCTCAATTAACACTCGGGTTTGATCAAGTACAAACCTGACATTGACGAATTAAGGCGGAAACTGTTTCAGTCAGAGTTGCAGAAAGTGTCAACCGTCCTCCAGGGAAGAATTCAAGGTTTGAAACCTTCCTCAAAACATTGTGAATTAATATGGCTTTTTCAAGTTGCAAAATATATAAATTACATGAACTTTTCATAATACTTTTCTTTACCCTTATTTATTCAAACAGTATTTCCATTTTTTTGGCTATTCCCATTTTTTTGACTATTGTGTTATAAAATTTTTTCTTATAAATAAATTTTAGAAAGTCGATAAACAGAATTGTGGGGGTTTTGTCTGAATTCGGTAATTGGGTTTTTTATCGGCGGGGGATATTGTTGTCGAGGATTTTGTCATGTGGGGGTAAAAAAATCGGCTTCTTATCTTCCTTCCTGCTGAATATTTTTCAATTTTTGTTATTTTCTCCCCAGTATATTCTCCAATGTGACAGTCATCTGGTATCGATATTGTCACAATAATTACCAGCACAATATCAACATCTTTCCAACCTCAACTTGCTCAGTCAAGTATCATTTACTTGTTTGTGGTGTTAGTGTTGAGTACAATGTTTCATACCTTCATTTATACAGGGGAAAGTTTCACCAAAAATATTCATTTAGCCTGCAGTGGGAAAATGGTCTTTCCTGTAAGATTGTAACTACTTCAGGATTTATCTCGCATGCCTTATCAGTTATCAGTATTGATTCATAGGATAACTCATCGTAAAGGCCCATTTCCACTCGATCAAGAAAAATTTCCACGCACAGAAAATTTTCCGAAAATATCATTGTTAAAAGTTGAAAATATCATCAACTTCAAAATTTTTCCGACACAAAATTTGTGTCGGGCAATCACAGTTTACAAAATTTTCTTTCTGCGGAAAATGTTCCTGACTTGGAAATGGGCCTTACAAGAGCATAATCCATGTAAGCTAGGTAACAAAAGGCATCTCCCTATATATAATATTATATTGTAACTTTTTGCAGAACATTTTGAGCCCTAAACCCAGGTTCCCAGGGAGGAAAAAATAATTTTCCACCTCTGCCGCTCATCAAATTTCACCCCTTGTTTACTTGTTACAATACTACAAAGTTTCTATCAAGACATTGCATTAAAAGGGTAATTGACACAGATGGAAATTATGGAAATTCTATATTCATTTATTAGACCTAACCAGAAACAGCTGCGAGAATGCAACTACAGATCCCTGGCAGGATTCGAACCTGCTGTCCTGCAATTCCGGAGCATCGCTCTAACCAACTGAGCTATACAGAGTCCAGTTGTCGAGCTCTAACTGCAAGTTCACTTACACTACTAGGGTAATGCCATAATTTTCCACCTCAAAATCCTCCAACTATTATTCAATCGAATGAGATGCCAACAAAATCTTGATATTTTGCTGTGTTGGTGTTGTGTACTCAGGTGAATGTGATGTTTGTGATGTTACTCTGAGTGTGTATCCACACCGGGCATGCTTGAAAAATATGCCTGGTGGGAATCGAACCTACGACCTTTGGAATACTAGCCCAATACACTCAGAGTAACATCACAAACATCATATTCACCTGAATACACAACACCAACACAGCAAATTATGATTATTAGATTACATTGATATCGATGGAACTAGACTCAGTTCTGAGATATCGCATACTCGAACCGACCTGACCGCGTAGCTCAGTTGGCAGAGCATTGGGCTAGTATTCCAAATGTCGTAGGTTCGATGCCCACCGTGGCCAGGCATATTTACAAGCATGCCCGGTGTGGATATAAACTCAGAGTAACATCACAAACCGCATCAAAATCTTGATATCTACCCATACCTTGCCATTGAACTGCCCTAGTATATATACAGATAGATATACAGATAGATATTTCACAGCACACTCCCTAACAGGGCTTTTCAGTGACTGGTTACATTATGAATAAATAGATAGAACCAGACTGACGTGAAGCAGACCGAGGTAGACTTTGAGCTTACAAATGGCGCTTGAGCAGCCGCTATTAGTCCATACCTCATTAATGATCTGCCTCCAGACCTATCCTATGTGCCTAACCCACTTTGTCAACTTTCCCTGTGGGAGGAAACACGGAGTACCCGGAGAAAACCCACGACTTTCGGCAGAGCGTTGACTTTTACTCTTTTCACATGAGGACTGGGTTCGAGTCACATTGAGAAGCTCTCACTGAGATTCGAACCTGCGGCCTTAGAGGTGAAAGGCAAGTGCGCTAACCACTTCGCCACCGAAGCCCCTTATACATATATATACATGAACTTGTAGTCACAGTTTGACAACTTGGGCTCTGTAGCTCAGTTGGTTAGAGCGCTGCTCCGAAATCGCCGGGCGCAGGTTCAGTTCTTGCCACGGACCTATAGTTGTATTTTTCGCAGCTGTTCCTGGTTAAGTCTAATATATAGAATTTCCACTCGATAATTTGCATCTACAAAACCCCCTCCAACTATCATTGGATCGAGTGAGATGGTTTTGGAGCACTGCTCCGAAATCGCAGGGCCGCAGGTTCAGTTCCTGTCACGGACCTATAGTTGTATTTTTCGCAGCTGTTCCTGGTTAAGTGTAATATATAGAATTTCCACTCGATAATTTCCATATACAAAACCCCTCCAACTATCATTGGATCGAGTGAGATGGTTGTGGAGCACTGCTCCGAAATCTCAGGGCCGCAGGTTCAGTTCCTGTCACGGACCTATAGTTTTATTATTCACAGCTGTTCCTGGTTAAGTCTAATATATAGAATTTCCACTTGATAATTTCCATCTACAAAACCCCCTCCAACTATCATTTGATCGAGTGAGATGGTTGTGGAGCACTGCTCCGAAATCGCAGGGCCGCAGGTTCAGTTCCTGTCACGGACCTATAGTTGTATTATTCACAGCTGTTCCTGGTTAGATCTAATATATAGAATTTCCACTCGATAATTTCCATCTACAAAACCCCTCCAACTATCATTGGATCGAGTGAGATGCCAACAAAATCTTGATATTTAATTGACACAGAGATGATGAATGACTATCACCTTTTCAATTGAACACCGATGTGTAGACCCGAAGAAACGCATAAAAATATAGTAACAAACATAAAGGTAAGGTCAAGTTTGAGTCAAATTTTGACTTTGATCTATCATTTCACCTTTCCCAAGGAGAGGTGCAAAATGATCTCGTGCAGCGGATGTGATGTGGAGATGTGCACAATGATCTCCTCTCAAAATCCAGCCATGGAAGAAGGTTTGAGTTTCAAAGTGGTTTGAGTGTCTGAGAAGATAAAACAAAGTGATTCTAATCTTTAAATACGCCTGCAAAAGTATAAAACACATAAGACGATTTGCGAGAAAGTCGAGTAATACGTGTATATTAATGACCGTGGGCGGGTCCAATCTCAGCTATGGGAACAATAGAGGGGGTAGGAATGAGGAAACCCGCCCCGCCCCCAATAATTTCTGAAAGCCATTGAATGATGGCTAAACAACTGTGTACCAAAACTGTTACAATACCTTTTCAACCATGAAAGCATTGGTATATAAATTAAGCTATATATTGCATGAAATGTAAGGCAAAAAAAGAAAAATAAGATTCCAGGTACAAAAGGTGATCATTTGTTGGTATCCTAATTTGCCTCCCCGGGTTGTTAGTCAGTTACTCCCAGTTGGCCTGTAAACAGGGGATTTAGGTGTTTTTTTTGGGGGGGGGGTTAGGTTGGGGGGATTTAGGTTGCCACCATTGTTGCTGGAAATCGTATATAGTTCTAAACTTTTTTGCCTTTATGCGATATATAGCTTAATCTATAGCCTACCATGCTTTCATGGTTGACAAAGAATTGTCTCACCTATAATTTGTTACGTTGCCTAGCTGTAGACCCAGAATTCTTAATGGCAACCACGTTCAGTTCGTATGTTGAATGTGGAGCTGCCTTTAAGACGTTGGAGGTAGCATCCCTTCATGGCTCCTTAACTGTATGCAGTCATCGTCTCAAAGAAGGGATATGACCAAATGTTGGCGTATATAGCAACATCTCCGGCCCTTGGGCAATGTAATCAACCTTGTAGACATGTTGTAGCCGTTGTGCTTGAAAGTTTAAATAGTTTGTTGATCTTTATATATTTCCGGCTAGTGTTGTCTGCCATGAGTAGTGTCTATAATCACTTCCATTTACAATATTATCAGTACCATGTACATAAACCAGTAACATCTAAACAATGTTGGTCACTTCAAACATGTCATCTTAATTCGTAGCAAATAACGTCTAAGGAGCGAACGAGATAAAAATTATTTTGATTTTTAAAATCGTTTGGATTTTTCTTCGAATTTCTACTTTTATGGTGACCAGATATGCAGCATGGTGCTCAGGCATTCAAATTATAATAATAGGATACATTTTAAAGGTCTCCCCTCCTTTTTTTAGGCACCCTGTATAGTATTGTATTTTATTGTATTTCTTTGTACATTATTGTATTGTATTCTAATCTATTGTACCATAATGTTTCCATTACATTCTATTATAATTCAGTGCGTTGCATTGTTATGCATTTTATCTTCTTGGATACTGCCCAATAGTCCATCGATCTTATGTAACTTGTACAATTGACATACTGAAACTCCCATAGGATATGAAATAATATAATGTCGACCCATACTCGATAGGCAGCGCTGCGTTGTACATTATTCGAATTAATGTAATATATGAAAGAATGCTAAGTAATAGATGTAAAATTTCATCATATACAGTTAATACTGAAAAGATCGAAATTGCGAAAATATCCTGTGTTGAAATTTAGTTATTAGGAAAGTTTTTCTACCCATTCTGTTTGACTGATTTGATTTCTAGTGACGAGTGTTGTGTTGTGTTGTGTTGTGTTGTGTTGTGTTGTGTTGTGTTGTGTTGTTGTGCTGCATGCTGTATTGTGTTGCTGTGTTGTTATGTTGCCATGTTGTGTTGTGTTGTGTTGTGTTGCATGTCGTGTTGTGTTGCCGTGTTGTATTATGTTGCCGTGTTGTGTTGCATGCCGTGTTGTGTTGCATGCCGTGTTGTGTTGCATGCCGTGTTGTGTTGTGTTTTGTTGTGTTGCCGTGTTGTGTTGTGTTGCCGTGTTGTGTTGCCGTGTCGTGTTGTGTTGTGTTACCGTATTGTATTGTATTGTATATTGAATATTATCAAATGTATTGTATATTTAACAATTATACAATGAGCTCGAGTCGTATATGAGCTGATAGGCGATGAGGTGCGTATACTGTATGTCTGTATAGCACTGCTACGCAAAACTCTTGTACTTTTTGGGCCGCCATCTTGTTTTTCGCTACTCACGTAGCGTACATAGCTGATACACGGCGATTTATTCAGTGGATGACTATATTATAATGAATACTATCCAATAGGCAATAGTCCGACCTGCATTTTTTAATCCACACAATTTATACATATTTTATATAATTTGTACAATTTATATAAAGCTCGCATAGGATATAAAATAATATGCGCCCCTAGTGCATGATGGTACGATAGTCTAATCAATGTAATATGTGGTAAAATTATTGATTGTGGGCAAACTGAAAAAAAAACATACAGAAGTAGTATATATATTATATAGCACTAATGTTGTCAGTGGTGTAACCATGTAACTTAGCGCTTGGCGCGGAGCAAATCAAAATCATTACGGGCGCAAGTTGTTTTGCCAGAAATTAATAGCTACACTATTAAATTGTCCGCTTGTTTATGTTATGCCTTCTGTTTTTGATTCTTTATTAACAAATCAGCTGAAAACAACACGTCATGTTTAAGTCTTACATTGAATTTGTTAAGGAAAACATAAGATTAGAATGTTGATTAATCTATCGTTACTGCAATCGCCTGCTTCAAATATGCGAGGGCAAAACTAGACCTGATGCATTGGTAATTGCCAGGAATAAAATTCACTTCCATGGCAAGATTCAGAAATAGTTGCCCGTAACACCATCGGATATTAAACAACTCGCATCCCTCGAACATATGAGCCTTTTCTCTTTCGCGCATTCACTAATGGCCTCTAGGTCAAAGTTTTGTTTTCTTTTCTCTCGACTTTGAAAAATCTGAAGTTGATTCAAAGTAAATCTCATGTCGGTTCGACACATGTGTAATGTAATACGATCTACGCAGAAAGCTTAATTTCCACCACCAGGTAACATGTTTGGCAAACTTTCTCATTGTATTTTAACAATATATATATCAATTTCGTTTAAACAATCATTAAATAGCCACAGGCAATGGTCTGACATTGCAATCTGCGATTTGTCTACGAGGCTAGAATCGACATCTGTCTTTGAGAGTTCTATTGGAATTTCTTCTAAACACAAGTCTGAAGTCTGCATGTCACCTTATACCCTTCTATATCAGGTTTTCGTCACCCGGATTTAATGCGCACTGAGCAATGTTTACAGTCGGTATATGCACTGTCGCGTCCTAAATACAGCCGATTTTGCGCTACAGACTTCCCGGCGTTGTTTTCGTTTGTTTTACAGAGAAGATTTTTGGGATACCATGCGCGCAAATAAACAATTACAACTAATTCCCCAGCTGGTTTGAGCACTGAAATCTCGCGCGCTTAAACTCATACAAGGCATACAAGCATCCCTCTGTGAGAGACGAGAGAAGCTTATTGGTTGACCGCAAAGGCCGCAAGGAAATCACTTAAGGGTGGGCTTATCGCTAAGGTATTAAAACCAGCTCTCGTGTGCAGACGGCCACAAAACACTCAAGTCTCCTGGCTAAAAGTAAGACGACCAAAACCGTTGACGAAATGTGGAAAATGAATTCGTTTTGCGTGCTGTTAACACTGGCATTGTTCTCACTGGTTCGTGAGTTTGGAGTATGGTAGGTGTTACCGTTTTGACATATATTGGATGTAAATAGGCCGTTCTGATTTGCGTGTGTATTGTGCGCTTAAACAGACAGTAGGCCAGTTTAGACTTTGGACGTGACTCTACGCTGTGAGCATCACAGGGCTTTATATTTTCATTCACGAGAAGAATTATCGAATAAATATTGTGTAATTTGAATTAACTCGTCATAAAGTAACCACTTGCGCACTTGTTACATATATTTGATTTTTAAACAAGATTGTACGATTACGACAGAAAGCTCGCCTGTTGTTTGTCCAACATGAAACGATAACTTCGTGTTTCGAGTGGACTTTAACGATCCATTTTGATAGCATGAAATAGAGAGATTAATATTAATAGATGTTTGTTTTAATCCTGTATAGTACATTAGTGTAAGTTATAGTTTCGTGTGTTTTAATATTTAGATTTCGCCACTTTGTAGCCATAGGTGCAAATGGTGGTCGATCGCAGTTATCAGTGTGAAAACATATGAATGAATATTCCTCGTGTCTGCGAGAAAAATGCATAGCTTCAAAATATGCCTTCAAAATGCATCGTGTTTTAGATTTCGGGTGCTGTGTATTCTTATAAAAATAGAAGTATTTTAAAATGCGCTTGTACAAATTCATATTCAAATTCCGACGCTCGCGCGTTTTAATGATGACTGTTATTATTTTTTTTTAAAGGCCATTTCAGTATTACTTGTGTTTATAGGCCATTGTGGGACGGAGTTTAATGTTCGTTCTCCCATATAAGTGCAATATTTGCAAAGTTCACCACCATATCTGCGCTCCTTACATAAACCTGAACTGAAACCGAACAATAGTCAAACACATGTCAGAATTCTTATACTATTACCGTTTCTATTTTCATAGCGAGGCTTCACCAAGTGGAACGAATACCGAGAAAGGTCTGCAAAAGGTAGGCGAATAATATTTTCTAATGTAGCTATCTCACAATTCTCGCATAAAGCGATGAAGTTTGCTCGGTTAGAACCGGAATTGCATGCCGCTCGATTTTATTGAACTTAGCCGAAACCCTTGTTACTGCGGCTGCTGAGTTATCTCGTAATAATGCACACACCGCATGGCATGCTAAATAATAGATACCTATTAGGTTAGGATATAGCTAGCAATTAATAAAAGATCGAAATGGCGAAAATATCCGCTGTCGAAATTTAGTTTTAATAGGAATGTTTTCCTACCCATTATGTTTGACTGATTTCCTTTTTAATCATAAATCAACGATAAATGTAACGATACCAATTCATTAATCAAAATCGGACGTTTCTGATCAAATGCATTTCTAAATTTGCTTGTATGAGATGTGATAGTTTAATGCTATAGTATTTGCAATTCGCACCGGATGGCTTGCATGTTTGCGGATGCATGTATACACATAATATGTCAATTTGCGCGACTGTGTTAATGGGTATCAACTATCGTGCGCGAACTAATTAAATATTCCAGATTTACATACGTGCCTGAGATATTACAAAATCTCACAAATTAACATATTCTGCGTGGCCGCAAGTACGCAATTCACTAATATGTAAACTGTGAAGTGCGCAATCGGAATTAACTTGATGAAAGCGGCAAAACCACAGAGACCACTGTTTTCAGCGGGCATACGATATCAGAGATTTTTGAATACAATATTTCGTGTCGAGCTAAGTTCCGTTACATAGCATGTTTTCTGGGGTGTTATGTGCAATAATCTATATTTATTCACTATGACATAGTATAAAATGAATTCATGTACAAAGTTCCTTGTATGTTTGCATGGCAGAAATAAATTTAATGGTTTCGTTGGAATCATTGCGTTCATTATGTATAGCTGAGCTTTCGATACTTGAGCCCGGATCAATATCAGTGCAAATAATGTAAGACAAAGGCTTTACAATATCCTTTAGTTCCGGTTTTATATCCTGAAAAAAATAAGGTAGGTAGGTCGGCAAATCATTTTTTTATGAACTTTTTAGCTTCATATCGGTCAGCAATGATTATAAGTTGGTAAACCTTTCAAGAAGTAAATGTACAGTAGGCAATGTTACTTTTCTGTTAGCCCTATGATTCTGAATTCGCAAATGGTGTAAAAATGCGTGAAATTGTATAAAATAAATGTATAAAAGTATTAATGGATGTGTGAATTGAATTTAATCTTATTAAATGTTCCCTGATGAATATCCGTGCTTAGAAATCGAGGGCTTTGCTAAATAAATAAACGCGGTGGTTTCATTTCTTGCTGTCCCCTATTTAATAGCTTCTGTTCAATTAGCATATTCCACGGGACCCAAGGATAACTCCAAGCAACTGATACTTCACGTCTTCACGAGCTTTGCGGTTGAGCGAAAAGAGCTGTGCTAGCATAGATTCTCATTTATCAAACTGATGATCAAGGACTTTAAGCGGGTTGTTTTAGCGTCCACCTATAAGCCGCGCGCGCGCTTTTCATCGCACGGCGCTAGATTATTAATCGGTATGTCTAATCTTTTCGAGACGTAAAGTGTTTTGGTGATGATCGGATAAACTTCAATGATAATTTTTCGAAAGTATGCGTATTATATCAAAGATAAACCAAAAAAGATTACGCAAAAGGGCGTCTTGAAAATCGAGGATGTGGATTATCAAATCAAGGTTGATATTTCGAGTTTGTTTCAAAGCCTTCTTCAGACATTAAGTAACATAAACTTGTAGTTAGTTTATACAAGACTTTGAAATAAAGTCATTTTAATCTTCATATTGGATTGTAAATATGCTCTTTTTTGGAATAGACACTCCCCGAATTTGCTGCTGGCAATCAAAGTTACTTATTTCCACTGAATTATATTGTCCGCCTCGATTTCAAGCTATTGTTTTGTGTGCACTCAAAGTGTTTGGCGAAATTAATAGATTTGAATATTACTGATACATTCACCATTTTGAACAGCTTAGCCTTAGGGCCCATGCAGCCAACTGGGAAACTCACCCAGTGACATCTGCATGCCCTTCGTTAACACACATATAAAGTTCAATTAGCCATTTCCCCCAAAGTCCTGGGTCTAGTCGCATCCCATGTTGGAGGGACAAGAAATATGACAGCACACATTTGAATTAAATGTCTAATGTAAAAAGGAGAAATTTGATTTTTGGTCGTCTAAAAAGTTGATATATGATAGTAGATACTTCTACTCTTTCACATATTTGACGCTTGTCACCATATATTTTGTCCGTCCAAACGATGCCAGAATGCACTGTGATCTCTTTTGGGAAAAGCCTAATTTATGTTCATATATGAGAAACGAGCCAGCCAGGCGAGGCGAGATCTCACCTTGCACTTGGCGTGGAATCTCAGTCAAGTGGAATGCATTTTTCCTTATGATATCTTTATCCCACTTGATCGGGATGGACATTTGGCCGATTTTGAACTATAATGTAGTATTGAACGGCAAATCACACCTTGACTTGTTGTCATTTTCTCTCAATGCTCGGTTTACCACACAAAAATGGCGGACAAGGCCTGCCAGTAAGCTCCATTTACAGCTGATGTGATCGAGAACTTGCGTCCAAAAAGTGCAGCCAATATGACGGAAATTGACGTCCAGTGCCAGTCCTTTTCTATTGTTTTTGTCAGCGCGGTAGGTACAAATGTGCGAGAAGTTTGCCGAAATTTCGCAGTCTAAAAAAATTTGTTTATTTAAATTGCGATGTTCAAACGAAGTTTGGCAATATGTCTTCGCGCTTGTGGTGCACTTGTTTGGCGCATGCTTCAGAGCACCGGACTGTAGTACTATGCCTGGTTTATACTTTTTTACCCAAAAAAGCTTAGATGATTTAAATAATCACTTGGCTCTAGACAAGTAAACTATACAAGTCAGATTTGACTCTTCAGATTTCTCAGACTAAATTAAGGAGGACTTGAGTCTTATCCTTTATCTCTACCAGTAGAGCTATTATATCGTATAAGCCTTATATTATTATATATAGTTTGCGAGTTGCCGTGATGTTAAAATTGATCCGGCAATTTTGTACTGAGCAGTTTTACTGCGAGCATGATGTATGACGGACCGTTGGCGTTTGTGCTTACAATTTTTGCTGTGATTTCTAGTGCAATTTTTTTTCTGATGGATGTGAACGAGTAAATGAGATATGAATGCTCTGAGTCATCTAAACATTCCTAACTCACCATTCGTTCACATACATCAGGAGAAGAAAATCGCATTTAAAATCGCAGCAAAAATTGCAAGTGTAAACGGGCTATAAATTAAGCAGTCGCGTATTGTTATGGCCTGGGGGACATTTTAAACTCTAGATTAATTAATAAACAAAATAAAGCTTTGATTTCAACCTATGTTTCAACTTGAATAGAACACATGATACTGTTGAGACAGCATTAAGAACAGCCAACCATGCAAGGACGCAAGGTCGCGTGACCGCCAACTCTTGTGCACCCTCATTCTCAGTGAACCGAGAAAGCGTCTTTATTAATACCAGCGTATAAAAATGCCGAAAAGTATGTTGAAAAACGTGGTGCTAACCGAGTGTTGCTTAAACTTATATTGACAATCTAACAGAAAAGGGAGGTACTCAATATGAAGCTGGAGCATTTTGAGCCACATAGTCAACCTGGTTAGTGGCACAAAACTTTGGGCCGACCCAGAAATGACAAATTGAGAAAATAAGCCCTGTCCGAATGTTTTTATAATGCATCAAACTTTTTTTGGTTTAATGTACTAAGTATACTACTTATGCTGAATTAAAATAGTTTCAGTTCCATATGATATGTTCTTCCATGGAATAAGCTATCGAAAATACAGGATTTTTTCTATCGAGCTACTTTAATGAGTTTGAGAAATATATACACATCACGTCGGAAATTATTAGAAAATTGATATATATGAATTAAAATGCCAGCAGTCCGGAATGGTGTATGTTTACACGTCTGCAGAAGGGGTTAAGAGACGTTTCCGTTTTGTTTTTCTTTCTAAGCCGCGATCCGCTTGATAGAGGACGTCTACGGTGTAGCTCAGACATGTTGTGGATGATTTGAAAATATTTTCATTGCGTTTGCGTGAGGGCGTAGTTAACTATGGATAAGAGGCGTTTTCCATGTGTGAATTTAAAAACATGATTAAAAATCAATTATCGCTTTTGCTGACGATGGTTTAATTATATTATGTTTATCTTGCTAACAAAATAGGAAATTTCAGAATCCTGCCCTCGGGCTTTTGATATCCGAGAATTAGCAAGCAAATACATAATATATATATTATGTCCGTATACCTCGCCATGCTTTACAGATCATGATCGAAATTTTCTTCAAGTTTTGTAATGTTAAATGTAATGGGGGAAATCATTGCGTATAGAATTTCCTGTGTGTAAAGCGGTCAATTTTTTCCAGGAGAGGGTGGGTTAGTTGTTTTTGACCTTTTGTGTTTTTGGCTAGCACATTCGTGTATGTATTTTCCAATTTTAACACCCATTTAGTGCGTTCAAGAGGTCGGCAAAACATAAAACACCTCGAAGAAAGTTTATGTGATTAGCTTCGAGTAGGTTTTTTTCTCATAAATACCGTGTTTGGAAGTGAAAGCAGAATTTTGAATCGGACCACTTGAGACATGCCAGAGGTTCAGACCTTTCCAGTGACTATACATAATTCACTGACTTTGACAAAAACAAGAACTGTGTTGTCTCACTGAATCGCGCATCATGTAGAAATAAAGAAACTGCGTGATTTAGCTCTTTCTATTCCGAAAAAAGAATTCAGCAAGAGATGCGTCAATTATAAAGAAGCATTTGCATTGGAATAATCTTCCCCACGATGCAAAAAATTTGCTGATTCCTTAAGTTCTTTCAAAACGATTTCAGAAACAAAAATGAATTGAAACTTGCTCGTTAGCCATACGTCTATATAGAGCATATTACACGGCGGCACGAAAATATGACTTTTATCTTCGAGTGGTGAAAACCAATATGCGCTCGTTCGTAAAATATTGTATGGCAATGAAACGAACCGCTATAATTTCAAACCGTTATCCGACGAGTCGTCAAAAGTTTCCCTCTATATACGTACATTCAAATTTTCTGCTAAGATCGGGTAAAATTGAAATATTTTTTACAGTAGCACTTCTCGCGTGTGTATTTTCGAGTGATTTAATCCGATAAGTGAAAAAGATAGCTGATATTAAATTTGTTTTCATTGCATATAAATCCGCAAAGTTCAACATCGACAAGCTGTTACAGCGCATGGGTTATATACCAGTTGAAACTGGTCGATATAACAATGTCTCTTACTGCGATAGAGTATGTAAATATTGCGATCTGAATGAAGTTGAGAATGAACAACATTACCTATATAATGATTAATGTCATACAGAAATGCAATATGCATAATTATTCTTGAGAATAATTTCATTGAGAGCATTTATGTTTTAGGTAGTATTAGGTGTTATCTATTATTTTATAATTTGTTTATATCCTTTGTTTCGCTTTTGCTACTTTGTTTGAAATAAATTAATATAAATTATAAACAAAACTGGCCGAGCTAGGAAACTAGAAAACGAAAAGTTGAAAAAGAAATTGCTTTTCAGTTTTCATTCTTTCAAACGGAACGACAAAATCATTTGCGTCGTGTGACCGTTGTCACCTTTAATACATGCATGTTGGGAGCTACAATTATCAGCATCACAAAAGCCAAACCGCAAACTTTAAAACTGTGTACCCCTCGCTGTTTCGCCACAATTTAATGCGGATGAAACAAAGTACTAAAGATTCCGCCAGTTAAATCCCAGTCATTGAACAATTTCCGCACATACTGATTGCGTTTATCGTGTTGTTTGTAAAAATAATTGTTTGGATTAAATGCGCAAGGCTTTGTCGCTTGTTGTTTTACGGACATTGTTGGATTACTTTGCTTTCCTAATTTGCATAAAATACGTATGGTACGTTAATATGTAATAACAAAATTCTCGTACGTCATTGCATATCTGAAATCTCTTGAATTTCCTTCATAATGTTGGTTTTTCTATATAGAATATGGCATTTGCATTTTTCGCGCGCATCTGCTGTCGGTTAAAGCTTAAATATGTGTGGAGTTTTGCGTTCGGAATTAAGCTTTCAAGATAGAATATTAAACGATGTTCATGCATTTTCGGGCTCACAATTGTTTGTATTTTATAAACGAAACACCTGAGAGTGTTTTAGTTATATGCGATAGTATCTCAAACGTGAAGTGCATGCAGTGTATTGTTTTATAAATAATTAAAATAAACTGTCGTGGTTTTGGGTCTGAACTACCTCGAGGAATAAAATCTTAGTTTCGTATAATCCAATAGAACAAAAAAATTGAAAAAAGTTTTAAAATTAAAATATCTATCTGAAGATAGCTAATTGTGGATTAAAATCCACAATTTCAAATACCTTCAGGCTATTATACAAAGTTAAGAATATCAGCTTATAGATTGCAGGTTGAAACTGGTCGATACAAAATACAACAATGTTTCATAGAGTACATATATCATAAACATTGTGGTCTAAATGAGATTGGAGACGAATGACATTTTTGAATTAATGTCCTGAAGCAAAAAAAAAGCTTATACCAATCTTATCGAGAATCTTATATATAGAATTAATTTTATAAATAATCTTTGTAAAATGTAAAATAAATTCTTCGTTCTCTTCATTTACAATTATCAATATATATTTTTACATATTATATAATGGCTATATGCATGACAAATCAATTATGACTCTAGTTGCAAAATATATAGTTACGATGTTATCACTGGTCTAGGTTACGAGGTTAGGATGCGGAGCCAATATCAAATTTAGGCTACTTAGGAAGCAAAAAGAACTGATGACATTTAAGTCTTTGGAAGGAATGACCCCTATATCTAAAACGAATGTTTTAGATAAGTATATATTAAGAAGTAACAATCGTAAATTAGTCCTTCCTAAACCAAATACAAACTTTCTGAAGAATAGCTTTTCCTATACAGAGGAGCCGTGTCATGGAATAACTTATACCTCCACGACATTACCAATAATGATGAGAGAGTCTTTCTCTTCATTCATTCATTAGAAATTACCGCGACGTCTGAAGTGTCCAATTTATATATTCATTGACTGTAAATTTCTATTATTAAAATCCAAATTTTGTAAATAGCTATATTTTAGTATTCATAGATAGCCTATATAGGCTAATTTTGTAAATAATTATTGCGAATTTCTAAGCATGCATGTAATATTTTTGTAAGCACGGCCTTAGAAAAAAACAGACTACTACATGAAAGGCCATCGTGGTTAATTAAACAAGTTTAAATAATAATAATAATAATAATATTAGTGCGTTCCTTGTTAATGTTTTCTTGTGATTTTTCATGTATGTATCTACATATACCGAATGGTATTTATGTTTATTAAATATTATTATTAAAACGCGTCGAGCGAAGGCTTTTCGTCAGGAAATTACCACGTTTTTTCTATGGAGCAAATCGACCCCTTACGCAGCATATTTAGCATGCGGAAGTTCACTGACCTCAAACCGCGACGCGAAACCCTCATGCGATGATACTGAATGTCTGAAACCGTGGTCTGAAGAACGAGAAAAGTCGGCGGCATTTTCAAACACAATTCTTTAATTTCCGCAAGCGAAATTCTCACACACGCATCTCAGCTGGAGAACGAATGTGTAAAATATTGTGTTGACAACTGATTGAATTTTAATATGCGATTGCTGAGATCGGTTGACAAGCTTGCGTAAATATGATTTATTGAATTCTCAACCCTAATGGTAACTTCCATGTTTAAAAAACTGGTGGACGAGGTCTCGTGTTAGTGCTTTATCTGTAAAATTATGCTAAAATGAAGAGGTTTTATAGATGGTACGCCAAAAAGAAAATTATGTCTGAAGTTCAGCAAGTTTTGCTTATATTGCTGCACAGCTATATATATGCATGGCGTCAATTTTACAGCATCAATGATAATTGTATTTTAATTGACAGTATTTAACTATTATTTTGTGTTTCTCAACCGCCAGATACATTTAGAAAGGTACCTAACTGTGTAATCTACAAAATAAAGCTAAAACAAAGTAATTTACAATACATTAAAAAGATGTCGTTCGTTGAGAAAACTTTGCCATAGGACTGTCCATAGTAAAACCGTTCTGCACATGTAATTTTAATAAGACAATTGGCCACTCAGTGTTTGTTTTATCTGGTCAAGTTTTCCAGAAGTAGATGATGGAGTTTGTGATCAGGTTGAGACATTTTTCAAATTAGTTCCATGCACATGTTTCGTAGTCTTTCAAAATATATTATCCGCACTGCCCTTTTCTGTACCTTTTCAATGTGTGCCACACCTGTGCGGTGTGCCCCATATTCTAATAGAAACACTACATACAAACACTACATATATTCGAATACAAACACTACATATAGTACATACAATACATACAAACGCACACTTGTGCGGTGTGCCCCATATTCTAATCTGACAGCACTAGCGTGCATGGTTAACTGCACGTTAAACAAAATATGGAACGAAAAATAGAAATTTGTTTGACTTAATGACTAATGTGTTTGCAAGAAACCGTTCTAGAATATTGGCTGTTTTCTTATCCTGATGTATATTGTACTCTCGATTTGAAAAATGCAATAAAGAATTTAAAAACAACCTTATCACGGGATGTAATCACGATTAACCGTCGTGTAAACACAGACATCACGAGATCATGTTTTTCTTAACAAGAAGCCGACTTTAAAAAGCAAGTGGCAGAAATGATGCAGGAATTAACACGGAAATCTGTACTTTAAGTTCAACTCAAGAGATGTGAATTTTATACATTTATTATCGAGCTAACTATATATAAATGTATTAGATGTATAAATGTATTATGTGTTTATATTAGACCTAACTTTATAAATGTATTATTGTAATACTGGGCCTAACTATTTGTCAAACTCATTAATAATTCATGAAGAGAACACAAAAGAAATCATGAGCGTGAAGGAGTTTGAATATCTGATATAAAATCACGCTGGTTTAAATAAACGTTCAATTTTCTCACCAAATGTCATTAATTTATTTTAAACTGTTGAAGAATACGAATGTTTTCATCAAGCCATTTACAAACATTCCCGTCTGTGACAGTGTTGACTGTTGTATCGGATATACAAATTCTCGTCTTTGTACATCCGATACAGCACGACCGCTCAGCTTGAGTTGATGAGTGGACTGGGACGAGTGTTAAAAAGTGCCCAAATTAAGAAATGAACCAAATCACTAAAAAGACCACCTCAAAATTAGTAAGTATACAAAGTTTGAAGACGTTCACCTGAATACCCTTCGAGTAATAAGCTTTCGAAATTGTGAAATTGCTGATTACAAAACTGTTTTTGGGATGCGCATCCCCCAAAACAAAAATTACAGTACATTTCGTAGTAAATATCGCGATTTTCGAAAGCTTATTATTCGAAGGGTATTCATGTTAACGTCTTCAAACTTTGTATACCGACTAATTTTGAGGTGGTCTTTTTAGTGATTTGGTTCATTTCTTAATTTGGGCACTTTTTAACACTCGTCCCCAGTCCACTCATCAACTTTGGAATGGCTAACTAGACCTAACTTTACAAATGTGTAAAATTTGTGCTCGAAATTTCCATCTACGAAATCCTTCTTGAATTTCTTTGTTTGAAAAGTAACATAACGAATTCTCGAAATATCGAAAGCTGTTTATTACGGCGTGCAAAACTTCTCAAACTCATGAATAATTCATCACAAAACACACGTTATTTTGCTACCACAGTTTACCACAGTAGCAAACGTTCATAAATTAAAAGGCAACTTGCAATGAACTTTTCTTTTAATATCATGCACTCAAAATAGTTTATTATATTTTGTGATATTTATTACATGGCCCTCGTTTCTCGACACACTTTGTGTTCATCGTGTGTGATATCTTAGCGAGGTTCAGATTTGGCTAACCGCTTCCTCTCACTGGCTTACCACGCATTTGATTGGTTAATTGGGTAGATTAAACGCATCTGATTGGTTAATGACAGCGGTAGTGGAAGTCAAATTTGAACCTTTTTATTACTAGCCACCCTATGTTGCCAATTTCAAGAATGAAAGAATAAAAAAAGGTTGTGGCAAAATTAAAAGTATAAAGAATGTTATTCTTTCATTTTAAGATCTCCATCAGTCACTTACTCGATTTCTTTCTATCTAGAGAAAGAGTCGTTCAAAATCAGACACAAAATGCACGCCCAGGATGGAAGGACAGCTGAGGTATATATCCGGCATTATTCAAATCTGTCACTCCAAATCATGGACGCCCATAACAAACCTTTTAAACTCTTCACCAAGACAAGGAACTCTGCCTCGATCTTGTCTCGATGCCAAATTCAAAGGTCTGGATAGAGGCAAGGGAGATGGATTTTACTGGCTTAATCCCTCCGGTATAGATGACCTTAAGAACTCATTTGTCGCGTATTGTGATATGACCACCGCGGGAGGTGGTTGGATGTTGGCCGCGAAGATCACGCATGATTTTGCTTGGATCTGTCCGGAGCGAAAAGGATCGAGTTGTTTCAATTCAGACGTGAATCCACTCCGAGCTAATTTATTTCATTCCTCGCACGCGAGGGATTTTGTTGATCTGAGAATTACGAATGATGAAAATTCGGGTGTTCACCTCAAGAAGACGCTCATCAGAAAGATTTTTGAAAGTAAGTTTTGGCTTTTTTGTGGTTGTTGTTGTCGTTGTCGTCGGTGTTGTTGCTGTTGTCGGTATTGCTGTTGTTGTGTTGTTCTTTATTGTTGTTGTCGTTGTTGTTGTTGTTGTCGTTGTCGTTGTCGTTGTTGTTGTTGTTGTCGTTGTTGTTGTTATGCTGCCATTTCGTTATTGTGTTGTTGTGTTGTCGTTGCTGTTGCTGTCATTGTTGTTTTGGTTGTTGTTGCGTTGTTATTGTTCTGTTGTTGTTGTTATTGTCGTTATCATTGTTGATAATGATGGTGTTCTTTTGTTGTTGTTGTTGTTGTTGTTGTTGTTGTTGTTGTTGTTGTTGTTGTTGTTGTTGTTGTTGTTGTTGTTGTTGTTGTTGTTGTTGTTGTTGTTGTTGTTGTTGTTGTTGTTGTTGTTATTTTGTGGCAAAAGTGGCAAATTGCTGGCAAAGTGCCAGTACCACATCAGCCCTATTGATGAGTTTCGTGAGTAGAACTTGCGAGCAACAGTTGGTATAACCTCAGAACTGTGCACAGGGGTAGACTGAGTGGTCGGTCGGGCAATCGGACGCGAACTGAGGGTTGGAGGACTTTGATGGTCCGGAATTACTGAAAGGAGGACAGATTCAGACAATTTGCTTTTGCTGGAAATTTACCTGGCTTCCGAGTAATGATTCCACGATTGGCCCCTCCTTGTGCAAGCTAGTCCTGCCGCCAATTTGTTATCGAAAATTGTAAAAACATTTTTATTGAAAAAAAAAGAAAATCTTCTTTCAAAAAAGAGGAAGTCGAGCAAGCGCGATTTTTTCCCCGACTTTTGTTTAATTAAATTGGGATTATGATTGTTTGCATTAAAATTTTTTATAAATTTTTTTATGTACATTTTTACATATTAGTATATATTCGTAACTTAGTATTATTTATACACTCGAGGGATCACGCCCGGATTTTATTCCTTACCAAGGCGGACACTGGTAGCAGCAAAAAAACACAATATGCCAAATACAGCTGCTGCACGATACTGCATGCTTAAGCCTGGTTCACACGATGAAATAAGCATAAGCACAAGCAGCGGAACCTTTGATGTGCATAAGCATAAACATAAGAAGAACAAATGTTGCGTTCTTCTTATGCTTTCGTTTATTCCACATCAAAGGTTCCGCTGCTTGTGCTTATGCTTATTTCATCGTGTGAACCAGGCTTTATGCAGGGGTCAGCCCCAAACGAGGCTCTAATTGTCCGGCTGTCAAGGGCCCCCCCCCCCCCCCCCTATGCTTAATGCTATAGTAAAATCCACATATAGAAAGCTTTGGTGGTCCAACATCTTTGACGCAATAACATAACGCCTTATAGCAATCGAGGAACACAGCGGGCCTTTAATTTAATGTTTATTTGACTGAAGCTTTACACTTACATAGGACTTAATTTTGGGAAAATCTGTATAGATAAATATTTACACACGTGATATTCTTAATATTTGAGGAAAGATTATAGTTTAATTCTCAATTGAAAATGTCCTTATCGATCTTCCTGGTTGTTTTTTTATCACTGATCTCAATCTCGTTCATAATCCAATTGATGCGTTCTGCGTTGAACTATAACATGTACAGCTGAGATTGGAAGGTTTAAAATATGCTTATGAATTAAAGTTTCAGCTGTTAAATAATCATTTGAATATGCAAAAAGTTGCTCAAAGAACAATTAGCCATTTCCCAAAGTCCTGGGTCTGGTCGCGCGAATCCCTTGGACAAGAAATATGGCAGCGCACATTTAAATTAAAAGTTTAATGTAAAAAGATATTTGTGATCGTGCAAAAAGTTGATATTTGACAGCAGATACTTCTACTCTTTTTCGCATATTTGATATTTGATCACGACAAGGGCACCTAAAAATTTTCCCGGAAATGTTGGCGACGGGGGGAAGGGGGAGGGGGGGGGAGGAAAAAACAATTTTGCAATCATATCATATTCCATGCTTAACATAATACATTTGCCTAAATTTCGAATTGCAACGTACAATCAACGTTTTTGACCACATTTTTTGTTAAGAAACATCGACCAAAAGTGAATTTATTTGTTTCATGGACATTATTTACTGAAGGGCACTTTTCGTAAGAATTGCAGGTTATATTCTGAACAAAGACAAAGGGCACTTTTTGTGTCTTCTGAAAACTTGGGTGGCCTAGGTCCCCTTGCCCGCCCCGCCCCCCGGTTCCTTCGCCCCTGGCTGCACAACCTCGGTCCAGGCTTTTTTGCGCGGTCTTGATGAGTACAATTACCAAATTGTTGAAATATGGTTGAAATTTTTAAAATATATGTATTGTTAACCTTGTCCATAGATTTGTTTTGGTATGGTTTTTGTTGTATTTTGTTGTGGTATTTCAAATTTATTCATTCTTTCGTCAACAGGTGGTCTACAGTCAGTTCGTTTTACGTTTGTAACCGCTAACCAAGGTTGGACGCCTAGCGAGGACGCATACGCAGCATTCAACAGAGAAAAATCCAACTCGATGTTTGTTAATAAAAGCTGGGTCGAGTACAGCTTAGGGAGAATGGATTACACTTGGAATGTTATTAAACACGAGAGGGGTGGCTTTAAATTCACAGGTAGAGACATGATTTCTTTACTTTACGTGTAATTATATAGAGAATTCTGTTTATTTATCATTGTATGTGTTTTTATTTATTTTAAGCATGCTCTGCATATATCACTTCTCAAATTCATTAATAATTCATGAGTAATTCAGCCAATGATAATCACCTATTTGATCACAAGATGCCATTTGGATAACCCGGTGAAACTTGATGAAAGTCACTAGTGTTTTCATCAAATATCTTAATTACGCATGCAAAATTACTTGAATAGAATTCCTAATTGCTTTATGCTTGGTTAAGAATTCTATTCAAATCAGCAAACGAAAACATTCTGTTACGTCTCGATTCATTTGAGAAGCCATATAAACAACTCGAGCTCGTGTCTCACCGGGATATCCAAACACTCGAAAACAATGTATGAAAACACTCGCGCTTCGCGCTCGTGTTCTCATACATTGTTTTCTCGTGTTTGGATATCCCGGTGAAACACTCACTCTCGTTGTTCATATATTACATCGCATTACATTGTCATTGAGAAAAATATTGATATTTAACATTTATGACTGTCGAATCCCTATTAACGAATACCTCCCTTAAACGGACACCTCTCAGCGGACAGACCCAATGAGCCGAAAAACCTTCCTTAAACGGACAACTGGTGAATGCATAATATGCTAATTTCCATAGCAATGAACAGTAAAAATCAATTTGAAGAAAATTAACTAGACAGTATGTTTGTTATTAATGTGTTGCAGTATTTCTATGTAGTATACTAATAACTTGAACCGATCTCCTACAACAAACTTTTCTTGTTTTAATTTGTCTTTCAAGCAATCGGAAGACAAACTGTCTCCTCAAAACATGAACTCGCTGGGAAGTTCCACACCACAACCAGCCCCTCCTTTGACACGTTTACCTTTGATCACTATACTTATCCTAAATTATTTGGACGTTTACCTCCTGCTGTGTTCGCTGTTGCAAACCTCTCTGACTGTAATAGCTATATTTCAAGTCGTGAATAGTATTTGGCTAATTCTAAGAAGATGTAATATATCTTTATAGTAAAAAACCTCATTTTGATCAACTTTTTCAGTGTCATGGTTTCCGGATATGATGTAATTAGATTAATTTTTCAACAAAAACAAAGTTATAATAGTTTTGTTTGTGGAAACACCACGTAAATTTATTACTGCAAAATAATTTGTGTTTCCACAAACAAAACTATAATATGTTTTATCGCCATGCAAACGTACAAAGAACTTATTAAAAACAAAGTTATAGGCGTTCTCGTAAGTCGTAATGTTTAATCAGTCACAAAACGTTTAATCCCACAACAAATAATATTTCTGTATATATTCATGTAGGCAGTATACTGTGTTGGGGAAGCAACGTCGAGACTTCTTATCGTTTTTACGAACACGGCCTACATCTTGGCAGTGCTGCGTTAGGAAATAAAAAATGTCATCTCGCAAATGACGAGACGGAGATTATGCTAAAGAGTCATTACACTAGAGTGGATGAGACAGGACGCACGGCAACCTGGGACCGCGCACAATTTGGCTTTCTGACGTCACGATTTTTACAAGTGCCTTGTAAACGGATTGCAATCTGGGTCAGATGAGAAGTTGTGTGTTGCATTATCATGCTGCAGAGAATGAGTTCGTCTTGAATTTTCACCAACACTTAATGGCCTTTTTAGATAAGCGCCCTGTTACATACGGATAAACGTTCTAATATTCAGATCTTGCAGTCATATGATATAGTATTACGTCACGGTAAGAAATCCGCGATTTTTGGTGGCAAAAATAATAGTGGGCACTGTAGACAGCAGTGGAAACCACCGCCTGAATTCGCTAGAACATATAGCATTTGTAAACTGGCTTAACAGCCAGTTAAGTGAAAGGGAACATTTGGAGATCCTTCGAGATAAACTTGGGAAGTTTAACGTTTATTTGATATCTTGTATGTTTTTATTTAGCTTTAAACATTTTCCACCCAAAACGGCTAACACTTGTTTGCATCATCACTACCACTGGAAAAAAAATGAAATCCATACTACGAAATTTGCAATTGCACCACTAAATCCATACTATTTCCTTACAAAATCCATATACTAAGGAAATATACAATTATTATGGATAACCAAAATCCATTTCCAATAAAGATCCATTCAATTTCCATACTGTGACCTTCTATGGAATTTCAAAATTTTTTCCAGTGTACCCAAATTCACTACTTTGAATAAAGTAGACTTTCCACTTTACGAGTACGACTACGCGAGATTCGGTTACTGTATATGCATGGATACGCCATATTCTTAATTAGTTAAACGGTATCTTTTTACGCCATCATCTATACTGACGCCTTATGAATCTCATAACCATGGCCAAATTGACTACGGGATTTTTGAAAAGTTTCGTATTAATGCAAGCATCTATATACTACGAGATTATGGGGTGAAGAAGATGTCGAGCATGTGCAAACAACGAATCTCGTAGTCGTACTCGTAGTACAAACTAAAGCTCTCTAATAATAAGTGGATTGCAACCAATCTCTTAGGAATTAAAAGACAATTAAGTGCGTTTGTTGAAATATAACCAACATGGCTGCCGTGACGTAACGTGCAATCGACCAATATATCGGATCTCGCAAAGTCATTTTTAAGCTTGGTGAATATTCAAAACGTCGTCAAACGTATATATAAGTTGACATCTGGTTAGTGATTTTAATATCTGCTTCTGTGATAGAGAAGCTATTAGTCTATATATAACATATTTATTCTACATTTGCAACAAAATAAGAAAGACAGTGAAAATAACTGTAATAATTTTAGAATTTGTTGCCACTAAGATAGAGATTGACTAAGATATATACTGTATCGTATTAAAAATAACATAACATGTCTGTGTTGTATTTAATTCATTGTACAATGAGTACAAGATGTATTGAAAAAGTAAACAATTTTCAAATGGCCACCAAACTGAAAATTATCGAAGAAAACGACATTTTTGTGGGATTTTTTATTTATATTTTGCTTATTGTTACTCTTTGTTCTGAGTAAAATTGTGCGCAAAAATTGGGAGTCACCGCATGCTTATTTTTTTTATTGATTGAATGATTGAATGACTGAAGAAGGCAAGCACACAGGTGTTTATAATTATTGTATATTAATTTTTATATCATTACATATGATAAAATTTAAATATTCTAAAGCTAAAAATATATGTTATAAATATTATGAATATCAACCCTATGGACGATTTGGGAAAATGCTCCCTTCGTTAAAGATGGTTCTTCACACTATCAAAAGTATACTTTTCGGGAAAGGTGATGACAGTACAAGCCACTTTTTGAGCAGGTCTGCCCGCCGCCGCGGAACACCTGAAAAGCAGGCGAGGCGAAAGACCCGCCTTTCGAGTGTCCCCCGTCATGTGTCGTATACCTGATGTAAATGCCCCAAACTCATTTAGTTCATTTGCATAAAGTTTTGTACATGAAAAGTTCGACTAACTTGGCCTAATTCAAAGCAATGGTCCCCATGCAAACGTTTGTAGTGTGAACTAACCTCTGTTTTAGCTATATGTATATTATTCGTTAAAAGCAATTAGTGTTTTTATATGTTTCTATTCTCCATAGGCCGGTTGTTCAAAGCTAGATTAGCACAAAACCTGGGTTGTAATTTAACCTGCTGTTTCAGTGGTTTGTGTATTTCCGTATGTCTGTTTATCTCTGTCAATACTTTAGAGAATAAAACTTCTACCGATGAAGGCAAAATTTGCATGTGGATATATATATATATATATATGATTATATATTATAAGGAAAAGATCAAATATACGTTTCTGTCAACCCACCAAAGACGTGGTGTCTTAATAGCGGATGATTTTCGAGATAATTTTCATAACTCCAAATTCTGCGTTGTTTTTAAAGTACAATAGGAAAAGTACATTAGGGATGTCATGCCTACAAATCCTCTCCCTCCAAGACGTCATATTGACTTCTTTTTGCAGAAACGTATATCATCAAACTCTTCCCTATATGTTGGGAAAATAGCTTTGATGTTTTTCCCTAACCTAGAATTAAAGGGAAATGGCAATATATATTTTTATTTTTTCATTTGAAAGAACGTTTAAAACTATATAAAATACTCTTTTACCGTTTTTTCGTATCTTGCGTACTACAAATATTTTGATCGAAAGGGATGAAATGTCTGTCATCTTCAATTTTTGTAGATATGCATGTCACGTCACAACAGGGGTCACGCAATATTTTTATCTAGACAACCACTAATCATTTTGCACTCAAACTATACCGTAAACCTCCGAATATAAGCCCCCCCCCCCGTGTATAAGCCCACCACATGTACTAACGCTCACCTCATTCCAAATATAAGCCCCCTCCCCCAAATATAAGCCCCCCACCCGAATATAAGCCCACTTGTTTATCACTATTGTTTATCACTATTACCACTATTAATCACTATTATTACTATGCTTAACACTTGTTTATCACTATTACACTATCACAAAAGATCGTCCATGTATAAGCCCCCCCCGTATATAAGCCCACCCTTGTATAAGCCCATCAAAAATCGTTTACGAAAGAATATAAGCCCTGGGCTTATAGTCGGAGGTTTACGGTACTCTGTCTGCCCTTTGAAATATCAAGATGACTCAAAACCTTTAAAACATCTACCAATCAATATTTGGTCAGCAACGAAATACTACTATACTACTATACTTTTATATGGTTAATCCCTGTTGTGGTGTCACCAAAACTAGTGAGATCAAAAATTTATCCAAGATGGCGGACATCTCGTTACTTTAAGTGAAAATATTTCAGGAAATAAGCAAGATATGAAAAATTGGTAAAAGAAGTTACTATATAGTTTCAAAAGTGCTTTCAAATTAGAAAATAAAAAATATATTGCCATTTCCCTTTATAGTCGGCCGGCCAAGGCGGCAAAAAGTGCCTCTAAAGAGAATTGATGGCAACTTTATGTTAGAAACTGGTAACAGGCATTTTCTTATAGTTTAAGCCTTGGTGAACAAGACTGTGTGTGTTACCACTTCTGATTTTGCTTTATAGCCGAAAATTTGAGAATTTTAAAATTTTGCCTATTAATTTACTATGATGGCAAAAAATGTAAAATTTCATGTTCTCTAAAACGAAAAATACACTATACCACAAGAAAGATCGCAAAAAACTGTGTGTATAAGACAATTGAGCGACTAGTGCGATTTTTCAAGCCGATTTTGAATTAAAGATGGTTAAAGTTGGCAAAAGCACTTTTAATTAATTAATATATTAGCATTAATTTGGTCATTTCCGTATTTTTTAGCATTAAAACTCGAAATAGGACTCGAAATACGTAGAACTCACTTAATTGTCTTATATATAACTTTTTGCGACCTTTCTAGTGGTATAGTTTATTTTTCGCATAAGAGAACATGAAATTTTACATTTTTTGTCATCATAGTAATTTAATAGGCAAAATTTAAAAACTCTCAAATTTTCGGCTATAAAGCAAAAATCAGAAGTGGTAACTAACGTATAGTCTTGTTCACCAAGGTTTGAATTATAAGAAAATGCCTGTTACCAGCTGCTAACATAAAGTTGCCATCAAGTTGTACAAAATGATGTCATGGCCAGCCGCCTATTAATTTTAAGCTAACCGGCATTCGAACAACCGCCCCTGGCCGTTAATCTCTAGAGAACCTCTTCTATACCTAACTGGTTCGCACGTTCGTGTCACCCAATTCACATTTTCAGGTAACATACATGCATTTCTTTTAATGATAACAAAAGCTCTTCTTTATTAACTTAACCGAAATAAATTACATCGTGGATCTTAGACCCACACCATCCATCAAATGGCCATCGTGTATGGTCAGCAGCTAACGCACCCACAATGCAATTCTTTGACAAGGTGCCTGTAGGAATTTTGAACCAAGGAAACCGAACTGGGCCCGATCCCATTCGGCTGTGCGGCCTGTGCTATCCAGACGAGCATAATGACTCTTAAGCATGACTTGTGTTTCGTCGTTTGAGAGATGGCATTTCTTATTTCCCTTTGTTGGCATTCCAACGTGAAGTCCTTGGTCGTAATAGCGATAATCTGAATCAACGTCCATACCCCAACATATTATTGAACCTTGAAAATAAATATAGAAGTACTATTAAAATTAACTTGTTTTTTTCTTACGCTATCCTGCGCGGAAAAATAAGTAAAATTACTGGAGTGAAACAATGGTTAGCTTTCTTAAAGGGATATGGCAATATGAATTAGGTTTGTCTTATTTGAAAGAACAATAAAAAGATGTATAAACTTTGTTTACAATTATTCCGTATCTTGCTTGGTTTTCGAAATAAATCGACTTATTTTGATCAAAAGCAGCGCGCATTCCGCCATCTTGGATATGCATTCGATATGCATACGTCACAAATAGGGTAAAAACCGAAATTTTTATCTTGCAAACCACATGTCATTATCAATATGAAACTCGATTTTTAGTACTCAATTAACTCACAACATTTTAAGAAACTTTTCGAAGAAATTTAGGCCCACATGAAGAAGTTTTAACAAGTTTACCCTGCTTGTGACGTCATCAAAAACTCAGTTAATTAGGTCAATTATAATACCAAGATGGTGAGCTGCACACTGTTTTTGGTCAAAATATTTCGAAAACCAAACAAGGTACGAAAAAGTTGTTAAGGGTCTGATCCTGAATCGTGATCAAGCTCGATGAACCCCCCTCTACCCCTACCGGATATGGCGGGGTCCATCTCTGTAAGAAAGAGACGTTAACACGGCCCCTCGTGTGCTGTGATCAGGAAATTTGGCTCTCTATCTATATAGCCATATAAGCCTCTGGCTTTGGCTAACGTGTAATTTAATTATTCATGAATAAAGACCATTATTATTATTATTAATATCAAAGATAGGCGCTTTTTTACTATGAAGTGGCTCTTGAAATTTTATTCCTTCCTGTTATCCACTCGTGTAAAAAACGCCGAGCAATTTCAACTATTTTAGAAACAAGGAAGTTGATTGCCTGCAAGGGCAATGGTGAAGGTTATTTCAGGTCCGTCAGAGCACCTAGTCACCAGGCTTTTTCTGACATGGCCACAAAATTCAATATGGCGCCTGACAAGGAGCGAAAGTAATATACTTTTGTTGTTTCTTCCTTACTCGTCGAAATATTTTTATTGTTAAAAAGATAGAATATGACAGGAAGCACCACGTATCTTATATTTTTTCTGAAAAAGACTTTGATTTAGCACAGAATTTTTCTCAGTCATGGTAGTTGATAAAATAATTAGAACAGTACATTTAAATTAACTAGTCAAAACTATATAGTATGTATACGTGCTGAACAATGGCTGTTAAAGTACTGACATTGTGTTCTTTCCTTTTTAATACGCTAGTAGGGATGCCATTAGATTAAATGCCTGGTTGGTTTGGTTTGGTTTGGTTAAATGAAAACTTGTTTATTTCTGGTATTTTTTCATGCTAACCTAATCAGTCTAGTATCTTATATTTTAATGTGTCACCCTCTGACATATCGATGTTTGATCAATGAATTAACAAAATTATAACCTGTAATTTGGGAAATTAATGACAAACCTATTATTTTGCGAATCTATTTACCTGAGAACGTCAAACGTTTTCGTTCGTGACGTAACACATTCCATGTGTAGTCTCCATTGTCACGTGAGTAATCAGCTAAAGTTCTTCCAAGAAACATTTTGTTTGCTTTTTCGGAATCAAATGCTGCGTAAGCATCTTCACTTGGTGTCCAACCTTCTGACGAGGTGATGTAAGAAAATCTCACAGACTGACGGCCACCTTAAACAGAAAAGCAGTGAGGGAGTTAGATAACATATCATGTATACATGGTCCCCTTGGAAATAGAAGTCGCATAATTTTTTTGCGCTTGAATAAGAATTTGAATTTGCAAATGTCGGTGGCAATTACGATGGCCTTTACTGGGTCTAGGAGAACTGTTTGAAACTGATAGACCTATTGAGTTCCTATTGAGTATAAATAAAATGAACCCATTAAAATACAACAGCACAACACAAAATGAAGTGAAAACCTACACTCCCAACAGCAAACCAACTAATAATAGTAGATGAATAATAATATTGAACAAATCATACTCATGAATAGCTTTCTGATGATGGAATTCTTCAAATGTATTCCTGAATTTTCATCGGACGTGACAGTAAGATCAACAAAATCTCGAGCGTGAACTGAATGAAACAGGTTGGCAGTAAGTGGGTCCACGTTTGAACCTAAGCAGTTATCACCCTTCCTGTCAGGGCATATCCAGGCATAATCATGTGTAATTTTTGCCACAAGGGTCCAACCTCCACCAGCAGTGGTCATATCGCAATAGGCCAGGAACGATTTCTTAAGGTCGTCCACTCCTTCGGGGTTGATCCAGTATAATCCATCACCTTTGTCCTGCCCTTTGAATTTTGCATCGAGGCACGATGTTGGCAGTTTTCCCTTTTTAGGAGAGTTGATTTTCCAGCCAAGTTCCCGCCATTGGTTGTGATAGCACAGGAGTAATCGCCCATTCTCTACATCGTAGTGGAGCTTGCCTTGTTTTCGCCTCGTACATTCCGTGGGGTGGATTACGACTTTCCCAAATTCCTATGAAAGGTTGAGAATATCATTTGTAATTTGATTATTGAATTTATCAATTTGCCACTATATTAAGCCACATAAAATAATTTCCTTGATTCTGAATCACCAGCGCCCGATTGTACTAGTTTAAGAACCGCGCGAATATTTTTTTATATTTCTTTATGCAATATAAATAATATTTCAATTTTTGTATTTGGTTGTCAGTGTCGTTTTGAACTGCCAACTTCAAACTACAAAACAACTTCGAAAGAAGTTTCATCGAATTTTAAAGGGACTTTAATTTAAAGGCACTTTAATTTAAAGGCACAGTGCCTTTAAATTAACAGGCGCCTTTTGAATGATGATTTTTAAAGCGCATTTCAGCTCTTTTAATTGAAAAAAACTAACTAGGAAAATCAATTAAGCATAATTCAAGATCAGCAAACTTAATGTTTTTAACATTTCAAAACATTTTTATTGTTAAACACATTGAGTTTACTGATCTTGAATTATGCTTAATTGATTTTTCTAGTTAGTTCAGTCAATTAAAAGGGATGAAATGCGCCTTACAAACCATCAATCAAAAGGCTGAACTGTAAAACCAGTCACTGTTCGTGAAGGATCTATTCTAAAACTACACCCGAGCGACAGACGAGTACAGACGAGTAACAGTCGAATAACAGACGAGTAAATTTTCTAAATACTACTAATAAACAGCATTTTGACGGATTGTTTTTAATGATGCAATATTTTTTAAAAAGGCGATTGGCGACTGCAGTATGTGAGATTTCTGTCTTTAGTAGAACTGTACTACTATAATCATTAAATTATTTGTAATTTACGTCGCTGGGCAAAGTATTAAATTGTTGGGTTTCAATCACGTGATTTTTTTAATTTAAAAACAATCCGTCAAAATGCTGTTTATTAGTCGTATTTAGAAAATTTACTCGTCTGTAGTCGTCTGTTACTCGTCTGTCACTCGGGTGTAATTTTAGAATAGATCGCGCGTAGCAGTCGAACTTCACTTTGGAAATCATGGAAATATTAAATATTTATTCTACGAACTCGAGTCGAATATGAGCTGATAGCCGATGAGGCGCGTAGCGCCGAATCGGCTATCGCTCATATTTGACGAGAGTGAGTGGAATAACTGTTTTATTATATACAAGGTCTGAATTCACAGATTTTGCTTTTCGGATATTTTCAATATTTTTCTATTTTTGTTTATGTTTTTATCTTCGCTCTTTCGGCCGATTATTTTTTGAAAAATATATATTTTTAACTATTTTAAATATAAAAATTCATTTGCTAACCTGTAAACAATTTCTGGGAGTTTTTCATTGTGTTTTTAATTCTGTAAAAGGCTATAAAAAGCGAACAACTTGCCATTTTTTGTTCGGAAACGCCGGAATTCAATTTGAGCCGCCATTTTGTTTTTCTCTACTAGCAGGATATGAGCTAATATCCTGGTAGTAGAGAACCAATCAGATTGCAGAATACTAGCAGGATATGAGCTAAATCCTGGTAGTAGAGAACCAATCAGATTGCAGAATACCTCATATCCAGACCTTGTGTAGTCTATATAATAATATGAATTATTCTTTATTTATTGACATGTAAATTATATAGAATACAAAATATAAACCTCCCGTCTTTTCGACATTTTCAAAATGTAGTAGTGATACGAATCGAGGAATTTATTATATGTGGCCTAAACAGGCTAAACTTCCTTCCCGTCACCGATCAAACAGTCGTACGATTACTAGATCCCTTTTTAATTAAGTCTGGTAGGTCGATGATATTGAATTACATATTATGCCATTTCTAATTCACATATTCCTAAATTTGTGCTGAGCAATTCAAAGTATACTAAAATGTATGATTCAGGCTGTTCGTTTGATCAAGTTGCTCCGAGGTCGTTGTCGTCAGCTTGTTATTAAACAACTTATTATGTGGGCAACATCAAACTTCTTAGAACAATTTATAATTCAACCTTGTGACAAGATGATAACAACTTGTTCCAGACTTGTCAACGACTGAGACAAAACCAGGCGCAAAACCATCCTACCAGAAATTTGTAAGGCGGAAAGTAAGTATAGGTCTATTTGAGAATAGCTGTTGTATAAAGCATATTTTGCGAAAGTGTGCTGACGCAAGGATTCACATTGTGTCTGAGTGTCTCTGTGTTCATACCGCTTCCCTGTCGGCACAAGCTTCAATTGCATATAGCTCGCGGGTGTGAAGGAAATTGCTTCAAATACAAAGAGGAAATTTTGTATTCTTTTCTTGTTTGGCAAAAACAAACACAAACACACCCATTGTTGGTACAGGAAAGATGACAACGTCATTGAATGTTTTACAGCCTTGTTTACTTCCCCAAAAGAACAAACATGATTTTTTGCCCAAATTCTTTTGCTGCTGCACGTAACTCGTAAAATATCCACCCATACACGCCTTTAATCCTTTATTAATTAAAATTAAATATCAATTACCGTACCAGACTGAGTCTCAAAATCTTAGAGGGACGTAGATCATAAAAATAATACAAAGAAATGTTATTTCTACCAACAGAAAGCTACTGTAACTTTAACATTTCTCAGTTCTAAAAGTTGCAGTGTGAGGTGGAGTCCCTGGAGCAGCTTCTGCCGGCCACTGATCTCGGAAAACTACATAGCACTGGATCACTAGTGCACTAGACTTGCTCCAAGTCTCTCTTCATTGTCATATAGTATCGATCCACTATAGTGTACATTACATGACGTAGCACGGAGGCATAGAATAAAGATCCATATAGAAGGGCCACTTACGTCAGAAGCTTTGAAGTTTCTGTCCTCGCGCATGTCGCATTACGCATGTTGGCCGCCATTTTCCTAGCCAGTCAATGACATTTTCTGGCCAATAAACACGCTGTACTGGCTGGCTGCTCCGCCTTCTGGCCAGTAAACTGCATATTTTTGCATAAAAAAACGAGGACACGTTGCACCCCTGAGTGGCCCTTCTATATGGATCTTTATTCTATGACGGAGGGGCGGAGCGAGAAAGAGAGATTTGTCAACTTCGGAAAATCTCGGTTCAAAACTTCAATTTCTTTCTGTATTATTTACTATAATGGAACTCGTGTTATTTACACTGTGCTAGATCAACACATATAAACACTGACAGAAAACAATTAAAGCAAGTCTTGCATTTTCGGTTCAGTTTTGAACCGAGATTTTCCGAAGTTGACAAGTCTCTCTTTCTCGCTCCGCCTCTGTGTGCTACGTCATGTAATTTACACTATAGTGGATCGATACTATATGACAATGAAAGAAAGACTTGGAGCAAATCTACTAGTGCACCCGCTGTGCATACATGAAGTCAATGGCCGTGGTGTTGGTGACATAGTGGAAGAGGTTCATACAGTTTCTAGCTATCGGTGGGAAAGGACAAACATTGTCTGAATAGACATTTATCAACAGTGACTTATTTCACCCCCCTTAAATTTGCCGGTGAAAAGCTAACGAGAAAAGCTAACGAGATCACACCAAGATGGCTGCCACGAGACTAGTTTCATTATCTAGCCTGTTTCAAACGTTCTAAAACTTATTGGAAGAGATGTGGGAAGCTATATCTTTTAAGTTACATGGGACAAGACATTTGCTTGATAATGTAGTTAATTTGAACACGTCGTGATCCGATTTGCAAAGATTTTGGAAGACTTTAAAATCTCATCTCCGAAAAATATTCTGGCTTAATCAAATTGCATGACTGATTAAACTCAAAAGGATACTCTATCCAGTGCTACTTTTCCGGATCAGTGCTGCCGCCTGACAGGCACCAATAAATTTCGAGAAATTGTCGGAAGATTCTAAAAATGATATGACGGTTCAGTTGAATGGTGCGACAATTACTGATTATCTTTATACCCCCATCATTGAATGCATGCCGGCAAAAGCTGTAATGTCGGAATAGGTTACAAATAAAACATTAGGGTTTATTTATCTTTCATTTATCTCACAGTAAAATAACACCAGAGTATCTTGGCACGAAAGAAAACAAGAGTCGGCCGTCACAAATTGTTACAGGGGACGTTTCAAGCTCTAGATTAACAAAATAAAGTTTCCAACTATGTCTTAACTTAAATAGAATACATCATAGTGATGGAAAAGCATTGAGCACAGCTAACCAATGTCGCGTGATTGCTTACTCTCATGCACTCCCATTCTCATTTGATCCGGGCTCAGTATTGGCACAGTGTCTATTGACGCATGCGCACAACTGTATTCTAACAATGCAACCGCCAAACATTGCTGAGATTATCTTTAGTTTAATTTTCTGTTTACGCCTAAGCGTCAGATTTGACATCTTATAGCACTGTATAATTCGATACTTCGATGGTAATTATACTAACTATATTTGACAACTACAGAAGCTTATTCAACCATTTCATATCTTCGGATTGAGAATTTCGTTTTTATATACAATACAGATCAATACACGATCTGTCATAGCGCTTGCGTGCGTTTACTGTATAATTTACGAGTTGTGTTTGCTTAATCCCTGTTATAAAAAAATACTGCAATCAGTGATTTGTGTGCGGCCAGCCATTAATATGTTTGTTTTCATAACAAACGTTTGGTATTCATAAACTTAATTGATTTGTTCCGTCGCTCGTTCCGCTGCTAATCCGCTAACACTAGGACATCGTTAATAGTACTCCATTACTCTACTGAATGTTTTAACAATTAATAGCTTTATTGGTTTATATGACTATAGTTCAGAACCTCCTCAGAGATATGAAAAACTATAGCCCTTTCACATTATTCTGGCACTACACAGAGAACAACAAAAAATTCATTTTCTCGCTCGTATCTTCGGGTTTCTAGACCAACACTCTACTCATTGAGCTTATCGAGTCAACGAGGATTGGCATGAAGTCTTATCCAATTTAAGTGCACGAGATATTTTCGCGACGACTTAGCACTTGTCTTGGAAGACACGCAGCAAGTTACGTCACCGTCGCCATGTTGGATGACATTGACAAAGGATTTTGCTTGTTTGCAATGCAAATAAGTATCATCCAACATGGCGAAAATCTCTTTGTCCTTTGAATCCCATGGGATTGGTTGCACATCACCTATTGGTGCAGTGTTACTACAGGAGGAAACCCAATGAAAACATGTGGTGTTTGACAAACATACCTAATTTTAGTAGTTTTAGTGTGTAATGCCAATTTGTGCAGTGAAAAAGTAAAAATGTTCAGTGATTTACAGTAAAAATGTGCAGTGATGATTTGCTATGAGAAATTTGTATCTAGCAGAACACACTATTTTTGTCTTGTGTATATTTCATAATGTAAATGAAATATTCGAGTGTTTTTCCGAATAATTGTGTGCAATAAAGCGACCAAATTCACCGTTTTCTATATAATTCACTTGGAGACTATTTTCTATTTTTCCGTCCGGAAACTCCTGATTCGGTTAGAAAATTCTTGTCATGGATCGAATTTAGAGGGCAGGCATGCGCATCCAATTTATATGAATAACACATCTCTCCAATTACCATGCAATTAAAGGTTCATTAATTAATGGAACTTAATTGACTCTGCCTACTGCTAGTTGATTCTACTTGCCAGTGGGATGGTATAGTTCTCGGATGGAAGAGCCATTAAGGCTGTTGATCAGCAGTCAGTTTAAGTTCTTTGAAGCCTTCATCGTTGATTATGTTAATTAGAACTATCCAAGCGCGAACGGCAAGAGGGGTAGTAGTATGACGATAGCTCCTTTTTTGTTTTGGCAATTACTAGAGGTACACATGCATAATTTTCTGTGTTTGCATTTAATTTATCGGTGACTACACGTACAGAAATGTACAGAATTAAAGATAAAGAAATCAAATAATCGATGTTTGTATGCAACAAATCTGTCCCATTTGTGCTGCGCTCCTTCTAGGATACTTTTTTCTATATCAAGAAGTGGGTTTAAACTGCTTATGACATGAAATTTCACCCAATTTGTTCTTGACTGCATTGCAAAGATCTCTTAAAAAGACTATATAACCTCTTTGGTAGAAAACTTGTAATACTCTTCCTGCCCAAGACATTCAACTTTGTTTGGTATGCAAATATCATCAGCATGACATCACACTGCATAATTTTTAATGAGATTTTTTAAGAGCAGCATTAATTTTGAAATTAGTTAAAATATTCCACATACAGATACAGAGGCCTGATGATTAAACTTGATGCACATATAAGCACAATTTGAAATTTTCTTTATCGTTACCCCACAAGATAAACACTTTGTCATAGAGACTCATTATGCAGTGTGATATCATACTGATGATATTTGCATATCAAACAAAGTTGAATATCTCTGGAAGGAAGAGAGATACAAGTATTCTACCAAAGAGGTTACATAGTTATTTTCAGTCACCTTTGCAATGCAATCAAGAAAAGATTAGGTGAAATTCGTGTCAATGGTGTCATGAGCACATGGAGGTGTATCACATGTAAATATGCAAATAATGATAAATGTTCACCACTTGTTGGCCTCATGCACAAGGTGATCTACAATACATTCACCCTATAAAATATCTCATTCCCATTATACTCTTCGCGCTTGTATTGCTAATTGAGTACAAACCGATCACATATTGCATGACTCTTTAGTAATTAGACTAAAACAACCTTTCAGAGCTATAGATTTCCACTAGAAAACTTTCAGTGAAGTGTTTAAATTGCTTTGCTTAGAAATGAAGCATTCTTTCATATATTTACCTTCCTGTGTTCCTTGCCAGTCGACACTTGCGTGCTCTCAATTTTAGGACTATCGGTTGAACTAATAGTTTTTGCCACATTTTCTTGGACACTAAAAATTACATCAGAGAATATCAGAATATGCAACTTATTGGTTGGTTCCAGGAAACGTTTCGAGGAGTAGGTGCAAGATTTTATTTATTTCTTTATGGGTAATAGTATGGTTTAGTTAACTGCTCAGTCAAACTAGCACTTTGACTTTGTGTGCTATAATTAGGCTATAACTGAGATTAAATAAATTTATTTATAATTATTATTTCGAGCGCAATTTAGGAATTATATAGCACAGCAATCCAACACAAATTGTCAGAAGTCAAAACTCAAATCAAATTTTTTCCTTGCAGTACTGTATTTTGATCATAATTGCCCCCCTCTTGGCTCTATGCCAATCCGAAACGAGTTATTTTTCATGCATATTATTGTTTCGTGGCTCTGTTATCTTGTTCTTCTTCTGTATTCTGCCGCTAGAACGGTATGGCGATTACTATATGTTTTGACTTATATTGTTAGATTTTATCACAACTTGATTCCAAATGATCTTTGCTGTGTTGGTGTAATATACTCAGGTGAATAAGATGCTTGTGTGATGTTAGTTACTCTGAGTGTATATCCACACCGCGTAGCTCAGTTGGCAGAGCGTTGGGCTAGTATTCCAAAGGTCGTAGGTTCGATTCCCACCGTGGCCAGGCATATTTTTCAAGCCTGCCCGGTGTGGATATACACTCAGAGTAACATCACACAAGCATCCAAATGATCTTGTTAATTTAATTTTTGTTTTACAGTAAGAGGGTATAATTGTTACGCCTATTTTGTGAATGCCTTCATTCATTCATTCATTCATTCATTCATTCATTCATTCATTCAGGTCTTAATTTTAAACTGATTTTCTTATTAATGATAAGAGGAATCTAGTTTCTGACAAATCGGGAGGTACGGCTTCAAATCGGGAGGCTTGGTGTGCATGACAATGACACAATGATATCGCAACCGTCACAATTGAATAGGAACTAAACCGACTTTTTTGCAAATTCAACATGTTTTTCACATTCGAATACTCGGGACTTCACACGCACGCCACAAGGAATTAAATTGGGGCGATGCTGACGTCACACGAGACAATTACTTATATTTAGCGATATTTGACCGCTGCCATAAAATAATGCAAACTACTGATACAATCAACACCACATTGAATCATCTTATCCTTTTATCGCATTCAACACAAAGCAACGGATGTCTCATTGACCTTGTTTTATTCATGTAAAACACGCTGTTTACTTGATAAGCTTCTAGCTAATAGCACACTTAATATTTTTCACAGGCCATCGGCTGATGTTATTAGGACTGAAATTGACTCCTTTTGTAATTTGTTACAATATATGAAACTATCGATTCATGTAAGATAGACGTTTAACAAGTGATAAATGCTTAATAATTTGCCCTCCCAATTTTGTACATGCATATACATATATATTAATATTCTTTTAACTTTGTATAAATCCACTAATCTATTATTCGGTTAGGCTAGTATTGCATTCGAAAAACACTACTCACTAGAACGGCATGAGTGAAAATGCGTTAAAACGATTAGCCTAATTTTCCCCCTAATTTACACATGTGTGTTAAATTGATCTTAAATGATATATTTTAAAAGTTAGCCTTCAGCAAAGTTGCTCTAATAGTCATAATAATTAAGCGTCGATGACCGTAAAAATTGACATGATGTAAGTTTAAGTATATGTGAAGTTGGATTTAATCCTTACAATACAAACCACAGTGCTCATTACATTATTCTGTAAAGTTCAACGGCGTGATCCGCCGATGCACGGGTTTAAAAAATCAAAAGGCCATCAGCTAAACCGCGTTTTTTATGATATTGCTGAGATGAATATGGCAACAATTAGGTTTATTTTCTCGTTTATATATTAAAAGGGTCTGCTCTTTTAGAATGGTCCCAATTAGAGAAATAAAACTATTTGGGTGGCAAGTATATGACAGCCTGCTATTACACCCTTTCTTCAGCAGGTATATTCAGTATATCGCTGAATCAGTGAACGCGTTTAATCAACCACTTCGAAAGCTACAGTACTCGTCATTTGAGGTAGCTTCAGCTAGGATGAAAGCAAGGAGTGACATCATTCTATATTTAAAGAAGATGAAAGGTGCCTTTCTACTCTTAATGTTCGGACCCTCAGTGTGTCTGATCCGATGCTACCAAAAATGGGAAGTGACCTTAACGGCCTTATATTAATTGAGTGTTAATTCAAAGCCAAACGAGAACACGCTTAAACCCTTATAAGTGCTACCAGCGCTGCCATTTAAAATTCAAGTATTGATTTACACATATGTACAACTTTGGCGCTTTTCAAAGTACAAAAACTGTGAAAATCTTCACCATATTACACAAAGACTTCTAAAGATACAAATACTCGGATACAAAGGCGAACTTACCAGCAGGTGATGACCAATAAAAATAACTGAATTATTTTTATCAACATTGTATGTCGTGAAATCTTAAATCTTCGCTTCTGTATTATACTGCTCAACTTCGGTTGACACACTTTAACGTCCTCGAGTTCAACTAGTTCAACTGCTCAACTCGCTCGCGTTCAGTTAACTAACTTTCAACTTATATGGAGCGCTTTTTATAGCCCCTAATCCGGTGCAATTAAAAAATCACGCATACGATTAAATACATTTAACGCGTTGGTGTTGCATAACTAATTTGTTTGTCTTGCCTTTATACTTTTCCCCGACCAATTGAGCGAAATTACCGCGTTTAGCTCGTGTTGATACCGTTCTGACAGTGCCTCAATCGCTTGCTTTTAGTTAATCGATTTCTCAAAGGTACCGCCGTAAAATAAAATGGTGTTTATCTAGCACCATGCGTGTTTTGCTGTGTGAATCGTGAAGCGAGCTCACGCTCCAGCGATTTTAACAGTGTTGCCAAAAGATCCAAAGCTAACAAACACGCCAGAAAATTTGGGAAACAATTTCCTTGTAATTATATCATCTCCGCCGTAATTCAACTTGGCTGGCGGGATATAAAAATATATAGATTGATATGTTTGTGCCCTAAATGGGTGGGTTTAACCTTTTTGGTTGACAACCATGCAGTCTATTATTGCATTGTCATTATATTAGCGCTCAAGACAAGTATTTAAACAGTAATACAATATAGGATATGTAGTATATTATAGATATAAGTGGGTACGCATCAATTTTTATCCTGGCTAAATAAACTAAACTTTATTTATTTCAGTTCTGGATAGCTATATATCATTTCTAAACTGTTCTTCCTAAAGGTCCAGCAAGGGCCATCCCTTACATTACTCATTATTAGTCTAGTGTTACTACAGGAGGAAACCTAACCAAACTAACTTTATTTATATACTGGCTATAGCTTTATCATTCCGAAACCGTGTTGTCTCTACACTGACACTGTAAAACATGTTGGTTAAAGGGAATCAAAACTGCATATGACTTTTATATAGCACTGTTTATCAGTAACATTCTTCATTAACTCTACATCTAGTTGAAGGACTTATTGATGCTGTGCCTTTGACAAATGGCTTACGGATCTATAAATGTGTAGGGAGAGTAGAGAGCATTAATTCCCAACTGAAAATGCCAGAAGTATGAGATAACCTAACCTCACCTACACCCCACCCACCCAGCCACCCACCAACCCACCCACCCACCCAGCCACCCCGAACATACACATGCATATGTCAGTTCGAGTCTTCGAATGAATGTAACAATGCAGCTATATGAATTATTTCGCTGTGTTTGTTAATATAATAAGCATTATCGAAATACTGAACACATCTAATCAATAATTTACTATCTACCATGCACAACATTGGATTATTGTCCAATGTTTACCAAACCAAGTTTGCCAAACTTATAGCCTTATAGCTGCAACTGTAAAGGCCTTAAATATAGACGATCACATGATGACGCCATGACCGCACAAACATTAGATTGCTTTGATCACTTTTTTGCCACATAAATACCACAAGAATACATTATTTTAAATAACTAACAAACTGCCTACTTTTAATAAATGAGTCTCAAACATTGTCAGAACATTGTGGTGACTATATTTTCAACTATAGTCATAATTGCTTTGTCTTGCATAGTCATTATATATTTAAAATATCTTGATGATTGAATGAAGAGAACGAAGAATTTATTTCACAAAGATCATTTATAAAATTAACTCTATAAGATTGGTGAGCACTGTATTGCTGCAGGACATTAAAAAATGTCGTTCGTCCTTGTCTGCAGAATCAATATCATTTTGATAATGATCCAACGCCGGTTTAGAACCTTATTATATACTGTAACTTTAATTTAATAACAGTTCGTATATATATTTTGAGTTCAAAATGAACAAAACTATATGCTCAATAAGTTGTCAATCGCTCCATATTCGAAGTGGTTCAGGTTTTTCCAGTGTTTCCAAAGCAAATTCTTTGCATTTTCAGTACCTCCTAACCTTGACCTGCCATAGTTCTTTTAGATGTGGTATTTAAAGAATGGTTGAAATGATCAGATATTTTTGACTCGAAAAGAAAATTAAAAGGAACTATATTTGAATTTTTAATCCTTTTGTTTAAATTATGACTATTCTTAATCCGTGTGAGGAAGAGCATATATAATTTTTATATTCTTTACTGATTCGCAATTATTTGTTCTTGGGTATCCAACAAATACAAGTTGACTCTTGAGTCAATTAATTTAAGTTCCTTGCGTGTATTTGCTCACGCAATGCCACGCCATATATTTGGTGGGATCCAGGCTCTTTTTTGTTTGACAACTCTGGCACTTTATAATGGCAGTCGTGAACACTGAGTCATAAGGAAAACGTAATCGATCTGTTCGTTCGCGTGTACCGTCCGCTCTGCGTCCTGTACAGTACAAAACAAAGAAACTTATCACGACAACCAGTTCTGTAGACTGTAGTGTACTCAAGGTGACAGCTTGTCAAGGTGACATAATACAAAATAAAATTAACTGTCAAGGAAACATTGATCTTGTTGTTGACCGTTGGCGCTTAAACCATACATGTCAAGACGGTCCACTTGTCGAGGAAGTCTTCGCTCGTCTGTATTATTCATGGAGCTTCATGCAATTTTCTATCTGAATTTTGAAGTTGAAAAGAAATTTTATTGTGTAAAGGTCCGGTCTAATAAATGGCTATAAATTCCACAGAAAAAATCCATCTATGACTATGAACCCCTTCTGCAACTAGTTATATCGAATGAGATGCCCCAAATTCTGATATTTATCATAGATATGTTATATACACTAGATAACGCATCTCTCTTAGTAAAATTGAAGCCAAGAATATTCCAGCTGTTACCCCCATTTGAATAGATGGCGGCTATGTTGGTGTTTCCCACTTGCTAATAAACGCTTAAAAAACAACAATAACTTTCATCATTTGAATAGTTTAAAAATGTATTTGGAATAGGGTTAACTTAATGTTTAAGTTCCGTGCATGTTTAAGAATCTGCAATCACGGCTTCAATTTTTGAATTGTAGAATAATTATAGATGCACTATCTAGTGTATAGCACTATCTAGTCTAGTGTAGATGCACTATCTAGTGTAGTGTTTACCCACACACCGTTCAAATTAGTCCAACATGTGCCACTATAATAGCTGATGTTGGATGATCGGTTTGTTATTCAAAACTTGTTATCAGCATCATCCAATATTACTGCATCATGGAAGAAGCAATGTTTGGATGATGTCACAGTTGCGAAAAATAGTTCACATATAATTTCGCATCTGACATTTTATGTGGAATTGGAACATTTCATATGTGAAAATGCACATTTTATATGTGAAATTTAGAGTCTGATTTTAACATTGCCATTGGAAATTTGACATTAACGTCTCTAATTCCAGACATTATTTCATATGTAAACTTTTTGAAAGGTTAAATTCCTAAATCTGTGCACAGACATAATTTAGAGAATTCTATTTGCAGCATAATGTCAAAATTAAAGAGAACCTTATAAACCAAAAAGTTTTCACAAATATAAAACTTCCTGTTTAATGAAATAAATTTAGGCATTCGTTAAGAATTTGTAACAAAATCAAAAGCCTCTTTCATTCAAAACGTCTGGAGCACTCTTTGTAATGAGTCGGCTATATCATCTAATACACTCTGTATCAGTGAAGAAAAAGAACTTTTTAGTTTATTTAATGTGTCAGCAAATACCAGCAAGCTGCCCAATTTTCGAACAAGGATATCGGAAACATATGTCTGTTGCTAGTTCTTCGTCTTCATTTATAGTTTATAGCGAAAAATGCAACCAACTAATAAGATTTCTGTAATCACAGTAGGAATTTTGCATAGGTAAATTCTAAGCTTTGAAGGATTTATAAGAAATGTTTGAGCAAAATGTTTAAACACTGAGGCCCCAGTAACACGATACCGGATTCGTATCGGAGCAACATCAATTTAAGGTGTTTTCAGTCTTGTCTGCTATTACAACTTTTCATATATGAAGGTTTTGTTTAATTATGTTATATTATCATAATTTTAAGTGCCAAATTCACCTCGAAGCAGTAGGATAGTTTTAAGACGTTTAAGTATTATTGACAGTTGGACAGCTAGTATAACATATGTATATTTGATAATAATATAATATAATTTAGTCTATTCTAATTGTAATTATCGTTATATTAATTATAGGTAAACACACGACCCCATAAGCTTTAATGCTTTAACTTGTAATCGTGTTTAAATAAAATTTTATTGTGTTGTATTATTATTGGGACCTGAATCTGAGTCATGCAGTTCCCTCAAACATTTCTTACAAATCCTTCAAAACGTAAAATTTACCGATGCAAAATTCCTATTGTGATCACAGAAGCTTTGACAGTGTAAACCAGACTTTCTTGATTACATACGAATCGTACACGAGAAATCACAGTCAACGTAACTTTATTATGACACAACCAGGACTAGTTGAAAATCAATTTTTAGTTAGGTATTTTGATGACGTCTTCAAACATAGGTCCGCTGTGGCGGACATGCATCTACTGAATAGAATAGTAGCACTGGGAAATAAAAGGCATTGACCAGATAAAAGCATATATGTGCACTCTAGCTGACCTTTGGAATCGATTTCTGGCATGTCCAGAGTCATAACACAAGTATCAGACATTGTTCAGACATTGCGTAATTTGATAATATACGATCTCGCTTGACTTTCAAAGGCCATCAATCGCCACTTTGTTGATAATGACTTAACTATTGTGAGGAATTAGTTGATATTGTTTTCACTGAGATGTCTAATAATAATAATAATAATATTATGTAATTTAAATATAACAATTTTTTTCATCTTTCGTCAGGAAAATAGAGATATCATGAGAGAAACTAGAAAAATAATAAAACAACAAAAAAGCGGGCAATATATGCGTACGTGTCGGCTACTTCAGTACATGATACAACGTCAGATAATGTAATTTACGAGCGACTTACGTCAGAACCTAGGTGGAATTAAATGCGGAAAGTTTTCTGGAGCCAAAGGTGGAGTGAGCCGGAAATAAGAGACGTTATCTTGCACCTTTGTTGAGTAAACATCAACCTAAAATGACTCGTTCTTTAGATTCTTTAGTTTTATTGTATTTCATTGTTATAATCAATTGATCACAAAACTTGTTCCAATAGATTCTGTTAATGGAGACCCTCTTTGTGACCTTGGGCATTGTACATCAAGGTCATCTATGGACTTACTTTGCTCTTATTGTAGGTCAGGGTATAGCTCAGTTGTCAGATCGACCACTTTTCACATTTGTCTCTAAGAAAACACTGGCTTCGATTTTTCAGTTCCATGTCCAAAACCGACTCACATAAAAAGACTTTGTCAACGTTCTGTCAGGCTGAGGGCAGCAGGTAGACAGATGCGCACCAGGTGGACCGGATCTCAAAGGAGCATTAAGGTGCCTCCTCTCTGTTAACCCGCCCTTTCAGGGCAAGTTGTAGTACACCTGATGCCCCCCTCGAGGGTTACGGTGAGGCCATTGAGCGAACTGTTACAGGCCGCAGATTTAGAAAGGCAATCAAGCTCTACATTTGTCAGACTGGGCAATAGTTCAGTCAGGCAACACTGCCTCTTCTTGATAGGCTTCACCGTCTTAGAGATGAACCTCCACACACACTCTGGTCCTAAGTAGATAATTAAGATTTCTATCAAGCCGCAAAAATGGATATGTTCAAATGCGCTTTACATCAAGTGTTCGTTTCCCTAATTACATAATTAGCCTGGAATATTTTATCTTTACAGCAATTGTGATGTCACTTTCTTAACTGTGTTTATCCTAATCCACCTTGTCAACTTTCCTGTGAAAGGAAACCGGAGGCCCAAGAGAAAACTCACGATTTTCGGCAGAGCGTTGGCAGACTAGTTTTCACAGTGAGTAGGCAGCGAGACGAAATCGGTGAAAGACGTTTGCTTTGACTCACGAAGCACGCGAACAAAAAAACACATATTTTGTGCTAGTTTATATAGCGCATTGTTAGGGGTACTAATTAGTGCCTGTAACATGATAGGACAACTTCGTGTCCAGGCTTTCCACGACCAGAAATTGCACAGAAAAATGGCCATGTCGCTGAGCATTCATTGCTTGGCATCGTGGGCTCAGTCAAAATTTTTCACACTCTTTTTGTTGTATCAAAATTAGGCTCGAATTGTAAGTTTAAAGTGTTCTTCCGATTGTTCCTGAGTCATGTTATATTGTTTTGGGACCTTAAGCCTTTTCTTAACTTTAAAATTCTACCAATAAACAAAACTGGCTTTGCTGACTTTATCTCGAAACTGAATTTAGTAGTTCGCTTCATTAAAACACGCCGGCATGTACAATTTTCTGATCCGTGTTCTCACAGAAAAAATGAGAGGAATGTATATACTTGCAAGATGTGAGATATTATGTGTACACATGTTGATGTACCCAGACCCATGTAGGTTTCTTCCAACAGGGAAAGTTAAGTAGTTAACAGGGTGGTATATAAGCAGTTGTAGGATTCAAAGCACCACAAAAATTATTTGCATCGTTATGTGACATAACTATAGTCTATACTGTTTAAGCTAGGGTGGACACCAAACGTGACTCACTGATTTGTGCATGGTCATGTGGCTTTAGATAAATACAATTTATCCCGCCGGGCAACAAGTGAAAAATTGTTGCCCGCTCCGACCGGCTACGATGCATAAATAGACAAAATGGCGGCATAACTCGAGTTTACTGTAAACTACGTCTACGATTTTCCAAGTTTGCGATTAAAATAAAGAATGTGAAATAGAAGAAAAATATACATCAGGAAATAACATATGCTGCTAATACCGTTTAAGTAGGTTCTTTTAATTTTAAACTCGTTGAAACTATATCAGTTGAGAGTCTCGGGAGCAGACATTATTTGATTCGCTCGGCCGGCGCAAGAGCAGACCGATTAAGTGTATAATGTACAAAGTGTTTGTGTCATCAAAAGTATGGAATAAATATACTCTTGAATGCTTTCTCAAAACATTGCTTTAATAAAAGCCGCCGTTTTTATCTCTTTAAGGCTTTATACTTCTATCTAGTTTAAACACTTTGGTTTGATGAAAGTTTCTTTCACTTATTTATAAGGATTTCGTGATGTTAAAACTTGTTCCGTACAATAGAGGACTTAAGTTTCATTGAGTGATACTTGTGACATAAGTTCTTAAAAGGCGCTGCTTTTGATCTTTTATCTATTTACATGTATGTGGTTACATTTTTTATTTAATGAAAGTATCTTTCTCTTAAGAGCTTTGAAAAAGCCTCTTAAAATATTGAACTTCCATTTTATCGAGATCCTTATATGCAGACAAATGTCTACGCCTACGTAGTCAGTGCCGGGGTCAAACCCACCCCTTAGAACTATCAAGGGTGGGTTGTAGCGAAGTAGTTGTAGTTCGCTACTGTAGCGAACTACAATTTTCAAGTAGCCAGTAGTTTTTGACTACTTTTTTAAAACAGTAGCTGTAGTTATAGCGAACTACATTTTGCCTAAAAGTAGCCAAGTAGTTGACTACTTTTCAAACAGCGAATCGCTATTCGCTACTTTCTAAAATTGTATAGCAACTTGATAGAATAGAATGATATTGAGACACGGTTTGCTTAAAATCAATACTCAATAGTCAATTTGCACTCTTGAACACTGTAGTGCTTACAAAAATGTTGCTTTGTGTTTACTGTTGCTACTCATAAGTCGATTTGTTATAGGTTACATTTCAGCCTGAGTTAGTAGATGCTCCAAATACAGTAACACTAAAAATATAGCGTAGCGAAATAGCGAAATACAGCAATTTTCGTCCAAGCACAAACCGCAAACATTTTCGCGCGTTTGTTTACGTTTGAAACGTGGCGTTTACCGTTGGAAACGGACATGTTTCACTGCTCATGCGACGTGTTATAGTGAAAAGCCTAATTCAGTTATTTTTCATGTTTTGATGTGCTTTCGTGTACTTTTCAGTGTTTCCAAGCTCACGATATTGTAAGAGCGACCAAACTTGTTTATATTCATACTTTTTGTGACTAAAACGTATTATCATGGGCTTGGAAATATTGAAACGTGCACGGAAGTACATCAAAACATGATAGTTGTGCCAAAAATAGCTTAAGGCTTTTCAATGTGACACGTCACATGAGCGGTGAAACATTTCAGTTTCCAACGGTAAACGCCCCGTTTCAAACGTAAACAAACGCGCGAAAATGTTTGCGGTTTGTGCTTGGACGAAAATGGCTGTAGTTCGCTACATTTTTTAAGCTGTAGCTGTAGTCAGTAGCGAACTACCTTTGTTCAAAAGTAGCAGTAGTTGTAGCTGACTACATATTTTTGAAGTAGCTGTAGTAATAGCGAACTACAAAAATTTTTTAGTCAACCCACCCCTTAGAACTATTAATCTCTAAACCCTTGACCTTGTCTTTGACAACTTGTCATGAAATGTGGGTCTTCAGGATATGTTAACGCCAAGTACAAGCGAGAAGAATATGAGTTTCAGTGATATGCGTTTCGGTTCTGTTCCAATTTTGTTTCGTGCATCAGCGTGGAATGGGAGCATTGCTATAGTGGAAACCAAGTCCGGTATGAGGTTTGGAGGATTCAATATTTATTTAATTATATAATTCGTTAAATTGGTTCAATTGAAACCAGTATAACCAAGAATTTCAGTCATTCGGCCTATGAGAAAAATGAAGTCCAATATCTATGAAGATCGTAAAATTTTTAATACCATTTTTCCCAGCTAATTGTCACTTTTTAATTCGGATCATATCGCTTAACAAGTTATATCCGTTCATAAAACCGCATATACGTTGAGTATTTTAAGTATTATTCTTTTAATCGAAGTCAAAATACGAAATTTCGAGACACACGCAGACAAAAAACAATAGGAAAGGGACTGGAACTGACGTCCAGTGGCTCCATCTTCACCAATGGCTCTGGGTACGAGATTGTATCTTCACTTTTTGGATGATTTGCACGCCCCCACTTTTTTACTTAAAACTACCCTAGTACAAGACACAAGCACTGAGCTGCTTGTAACCTATAGCTACGCACTTCGTTTTCCAACCCCCTCACTCAGTATGGCAAAGCAAATATTCTATTTCCTCCTATGACTCAAAATCGTACTGGACAGTTTCCTCTAGTTTCTCCTAAAGAATGAAATTTTTTTCAGAATATATTGACTATGGCTTTTGTCGACGAATACTCTATTTCCTCCTATGACTCAAAATCGTGCTGGAAAGTTTTCCTCTTTATCCTAAAGAATGAAATTTTTTTCAGAATATATTGACTATATAACTTTTGTTGATGAATAATCTATTTCCTCCTATGACTCAAAATCGTGCTGGAAAGTTTTCCTCTTTATCCTAAAGAATGAAATTTTTTTCAGAATATATTGACTATAGCGTTTGTCGATGAATACTCTATTTCCTCCTATGACTCAAAATCGTGCTGGAAAGTTTCCTCTTTCTCCTAAAGAATGAAATTTTTTTCAGAATATATTGACTATATAGCTTTTGTCGATGAATGCTCTATTTCTTCCTATGACTCAAAATCGTGCTGGAAAGTTTCCTCTTTCTCCTAAAGAATGAAATTTTTTTCAGAATATATTGACTATATAGCTTTTGTCGATGAATACTCTATTTCCTCCTATGACTCAAAATCGTGCTGGAAAGTTTCCTCTTTCTCCTAAAGAATGAAATTTTTTTCAGAATATATTGACTATATAGCTTTTGTCGATGAATACTCTATTTCCTCCTGCAATGACTTAAAATCGTGCTGGAAAGTTTTGCTCTTTCTCCTAAAGAATGAAATTTTTTTTCAGAATATATTGACTATGGCTTTTGTCGACGAATACTCTATTTCCTCCAATGACTCAAAATCGTGCTGGAAAGTTTTCCTCTTTATCCTAAAGAATGACATTTTTTGTCAGAATATATTGACTACATAGCTTTTGTCGATGAATACTCTATTTCCTCCTATGACTCAAAATCGTGCTGGAAAGTTTCCTCTTTCTCCTAAAGAATGAAATTTTTTTCAGAATATATTGACTATGGCTTTTGTCGATGAATACTCTATTTCCTCCTATGACTCAAAGTCATGCTGGAAAGTTTCCTCTTTCCCCTAAAGAATGAAATTTTTTTCAGAATATATTGACTATATAGCTTTTATCGATGAATACTCTATTTCCTCCTATGACTCAAAATCGTACTGGAAAGTTTCCTCTTTATCCTCTTTCTCCTAAAGAATGAATTTTTTTTTCAGAATATATTGGCTCTGGCTTTTGTCGATGAATACTCTATTTCCTCCTATGACTCAAAATTGTGCTGGAAAGTTTTCTTCTTTATCCTAAAGAATGAAATTTTTTTTCAGAATATATTGGCTATATAGCTTTTGTCGATGAATACTCTATTTCCTCCTGCAATGACTCAAAATCGTGCTGGAAAGTTTTCCTCTTTATTTATTCTAAAGAAGAAATTTTTTTTTTAGAATATATTGACTATAGCTTTTGTCGATGAATACTCTATTTTCTCCTATGACTCAAAGTCATGCTGGAAAGTTTCCTCTTTCTCCTAAAGAATGAAATTTTTTTCAGAATATATTGACTATATAGCTTTTGTCGATGAATACTCTATTTCCTCCTATGACTCAAAATCGTGCTGGAAAGTTTCCTCTTTCTCCTAAAGAATGAAATTTTTTTCAGAATATATTGACTATGGCTTTTGTCGATGAATACTCTATTTCCTCCTATGACTCAAAGTCATGCTGGAAAGTTTCCTCTTTCCCCTAAAGAATGAAATTTTTTTCAGAATATATTGACTATATAGCTTTTATCGATGAATACTCTATTTCCTCCTATGACTCAAAATCGTACTGGAAAGTTTCCTCTTTATCCTCTTTCTCCTAAAGAATGAATTTTTTTTTCAGAATATATTGGCTCTGGCTTTTGTCGATGAATACTCTATTTCCTCCTATGACTCAAAATTGTGCTGGAAAGTTTTCTTCTTTATCCTAAAGAATGAAATTTTTTTTCAGAATATATTGGCTATATAGCTTTTGTCGATGAATACTCTATTTCCTCCTGCAATGACTCAAAATCGTGCTGGAAAGTTTTCCTCTTTATTTATTCTAAAGAAGAAATTTTTTTTTTAGAATATATTGACTATAGCTTTTGTCGATGAATACTCTATTTTCTCCTATGACTCAAAGTCATGCTGGAAAGTTTCCTCTTTCTCCTAAAGAATGAAATTTTTTTCAGAATATATTGACTATATAGCTTTTGTCGATGAATACTCTATTTCCTCCTATGACTCAAAATCGTACTGGAAAGTTTCCTCTTTATCCTCTTTCTCCTAAAGAATGAATTTTTTTTCTCAGAATATATTGGCTATGGCTTTTGTCGATGAATACTCTATTTCCTCCTGCAATGACTCAAAATCGTGCTGGAAAGTTTTCCTCTTTATTTATTCTAAAGAAGGAAATTTTTGTTTCAGAATATATTGACTATAGCTTTTGTCGATGAATACTCTATTTCCTCCTATGACTCAAAATCGTGCTGGAAAGTTTTCCTCTTTATTTATTCTTATTTATTCTTATATTCTATTTATTTAAAACTGTCTGAATAGATGATTTGGTGTATATAGACAAAACTACCTGAGGAATAACGGTTCAAAACAACGGTAACTCCAAAAAGGAACAGTTTTAAAAAACAATAAGGACCAATGATCAGATCTGTCCATAAATTCTGGTGGTGTACAAGTTGGAGTTGAATTAGTTTTATCGTCAGGATATAGTTCTAAAATAGAATTGATGTGTCTTATATTTTTGAACTAGGCTATATCCTGACGATGAAACTAACCCAACTCCAACTTGTATACTACCAGAATTTATATTAATTCTAAGATTATAGACAATCTGATCATTGGTCCTCATTGCTTTTTAAAGAGTCACTTGCCATTTGACGTTTTAAACCTGAACTCAATCATGGAACTATATGGCGTCAAAAGACTTCAGTATTTTTAATTAATTCTTTTATTAATATAATCTCTTTTATATGTTTGTTTAAACCAAATTACTTTAATCTTCACCTACAGCGGAATATCGTCATAATGTGACCTAACATCATCCATGATGATACCCTGGATTCCAGAGCCTTCAGTAAATAATAAATTGAAACGTCGTGAAGGCTCTGGTTCAACGGGAAGATTCTTTGATTAAACCGCGTCAATCGCAAAACATAATTAGTGGTTTTAGTACAGAATCTGTACTAAAACCACTAATACTGTTTTGTGATTGGCGCGGTTTAATGAAGCTAGAATCCTCCCGTTGAACCAGAGCCTTCACGACGTTTCAATTCAGTATTATTTACTGAAGGCTCTGGAATCCAGGGTACCATGATGATGACTAAAGCTAGAATATTAAAAAGATACTAGATATTAAAAAGGTTCTTTTTCGAGGTTACCGTTGTTTTGTATTTTATAAAAATACTCAGTTCGATTAGTACATCATTAACTGGTGAATGAACGTCTCAGCTCTTTGTAAAACACTTTCAAAACTCAATTAATGATCTTCTCTGATAACCTGATGTCAAATTTAGCTTCTGTTCTTGATTTCTCACGCTCCGTACAAGCTAAATTATGACGCATGCATGCATGTCGATTGTCGGTGTTTTTGAATGGTGTATCGGCCCATATTCTAGATCAGCAATTAAATTACCTGACATCAATACGAGTGGGAGGCTGGGAGCGCTAATGCTTCTTCATTCAGTTGAGTGTCTTGAGTGTTATCCTGACTGTCTGATATTTTGGATGAAAAGAAAACTTTCAGAAGTTGAAATTATGTAACACGGTATTATGCAATAATAATATTTAATCGACAGAAATACCCGTTTTGGTATTTCCAAAAACCACAAGAATAGATTAATTAGAACAAATTAATTAATGATTATACCACAGATTATGAACCTTACAGACTGTAGACTTCTTGGTTTCGCCTATGATTTTGGCGTAACCGTTGCAATGCTGTCGCCATGTTCTTAGCCAGGTGCTAAAGAAAAGAATTCACCCCACCCCCTGAAAATATTCAAGAATGGCGGACGTTCAGGGGGGTGAACGCCTCTCATAAGCGCACTGGCTAGGAACATGGCGAGCGAATTTTAATGATTCGGTTACGATTTTTTGTGTCGACCTTCTGTAAGCGTACTAGTCTGTGATGATATCTATACTTTAATTAAATAAGATTCATAATTGTCAAACTATATTTTGCAACCGAGTTTTCAACCACAGTCACAATTGTTTAGTCTTGATCATGAATAGCTATTGCATATAAGTAAAAATACCTTGATTAATCGTATTGATAATGTCTAATTAAATTAATGAAGGGAATGAAGAATTTATTTTACAAAGATTATTTATAAAATTAATTTGGGGGCATTTCACTCGATTGAACTAATTAATGTTGAAGGATTTGTACTCTCGAAGGACTACTTTGGGGGCCGTTTTTGAAGTCGCGAAGGCAGTGGCGGCGCCAGGCTTCCAAATTTGGGGGGGGGGCATTTGAGGAGCAAACTCAAATTTTGGGGGGACAAGATCGAATTTTTAAAAAGGTAGCCCCCAGGAAATTCGCCCCCCACCCCTCAAATCGTGGCGATATTCCTACTAATAATTTTTTTTGAGGGGGGGCAAAATGGGGGGGCAAAAAATAATTTGGGGGGGGCATTTGGCCCCCCCTGGCGCCGCCACTGCGCGAAGGCCTACTTTGGGGGCCAAGGTCGCCGTTATTATGTGCAACATTGTGCGACATTAGGCGAAATTAGGTGACATTAGGCGAATAGATTGTTAGACAAAGCTAAAAAATTGGGTCACATGGGCGACTTAGGCGAAATTAGGCGACATTAGGCGACCTTGGCCCCCAAAGTAGGCCTTCTCGAGTGTGAATTTTTTATATTTATCGCCACAGGTTTGATTCCTGTTGCATTTTCGCACCTGTTGGCTATTCATAAAATATAATATGCACTTAGTTATTAATGTCTAACATCGTTTTGGTTTGCTATGCCTTGAAATGAATATATATTGCATCGAGTTTCAATTCAGAGGATGCGGAAACAACGTGAAACTTAGATATTGTTTACATCAGAGGGTCCTCACATGGCACATGCGCAGAACAGACTTGACCTCATCCTTAAAAAATGTATAAAATTTACACTCGAAAATTCCATTTCTAAAATCCTTTATAAAATTATCTCGCATGACGTCAAAAAGTGTCGTTCGTCCCCAATCTCCTTTAGATCTTTATATGACGACCAAAGATTGAAAACAGCATTGATGGCGTATACCGATTGATTTCAACCTTTATTTTCGCATTTTTGTTGACCGATTGCTGACCACGACGACTGAAGGCGTATGTATACAGCTAAGTCAAAAAAGGTTGTCCTTTACAAACCTTAAACTCTAAACCTTAAACTCTAAGCGCGCAAACCTTAATGGGAGCACACGTTTCAAGCATAGTAGTTGAATATTCAGTAGCTATTTGTGAATGAATTGTTCTCGTAAGGAGATATTTACAGACACCTTATTAAAATATATACATCACACCGACACACACCATATCTGAAAATAGACTGTCTTGTTTATATATCTTGCAGCCAGGATAATTATTATACATGCCAATTATTAGTATTGATTTTCTGCAAAAATTTTTAGTATGGCGATAGTAACTTCTAGTTAAATATATACATTATGTTGAAACACACCCTATCTGAAAATAGACTTTATCTTGATTTTATATATTTTGCTGCCAGGCAAATTCCGATTAGTGCTATGTTACCATGATTATGTTAGATAATTATTATACAATTATCCATTGTGATTCTACAATACACATGGGCCTCAATTAAACTCGGCAAACTTCAAAGTGTCTATAATCGGCTACAATTTTTTTTAGACGACTGTATAGTCATGCTCCTGCACAAATCTTTTAAACGTTTGCTTGTTTCGACAAGATGGTGCCATTGGATATTAATTACTTCCTTATGTAAAAAATCATCATCTTCGCAGTTGCACAAATATAATAGAAACTAAAAAATTTTGGGATTTCAGATTGACTTTGGCCTTTGCTGTCTGGATTAGCATAAATTAAATATTTAAAATATAGATATATATATTTAATTTTTTTCAATGTCACATATTTGCAATGAAAAGTGTTCAAAACCTAAAATCCTTTTGGCGTTCCTCTCAAAATTACTTTGTTTTAGCTTTATTCTCTAGTTTATAGAGTTAGCAACCTTTTTAAATGGTTGAGAAACATAAAATAATAGTTAAAAATTGTCAATTAAAATACAATTATCAATGATGCTTTAAAATTGACGCCATATTTACAGTCATATAAGCAAAACTTACTGAACTTCAGACATCATTTTCTCTTTGGCGTACCATCTAAAATCTCTTCATTTTAGCATTATTTTACAGATAAAGCACTAAATATATTTTTTAAGTTTGTTTGCCGATTGAGAAACGCATTGAAAAATGAAAAAAAATTGAATTTATTCATAACCTCAAATGGTATACGCATTAGTGTTGAGCGCGTGTCACGTAACATACAAAAAATCTCCTATAACGCATTATATTGAAGTTTTACTTGTTTTTTTCAGGTAGTTGAATCCCTATTAACTCTGCAGTTTTCTGGTGTTTTTGTCACTACCCACGCTGCATGGCACGGACCGTTCGAGTAATTATAAGGCAATCTATATGGAACCCCGCTGGCATAGACAGCTATAAGATCTTTGCCAAGACGGCAAGGATCATACAAAGTATCGGTGAACCAAATTATATTATAATCAGTGATTTAATAACTTAATTACTCATTTGCATTTTATCTATATCAGTCGATTTCCGTATTAAAATTTCAAACAAGAACACAAGCATTATGCGACACGAAAACAAGAAAGGTCTGGTAAAATTAGAGGTCATTAGAGGGTTCAACTGACTTAAAAGCTCGCCGGTCAAGGCTTATAGAAAACACTAAACTCTATTTGATAACTTTCAACTAATGTTGAAGAATTTTGTAGATGGAAATTTCGAGTATAAATTTTATACTTACTGTAACAAATATAAAACATTTTCCGTGTTGATATACAGTTGTATCTTAAATCAACACGAGTGGAATTGGGAAAACGAGAAATTGTATGGAAACACGTCGCCCGCGAAGGGCGGAGTGTTTTCATACAATTCCGAGTTTTCCCAACTTCCACGAGTGTTGATATAACTATATATCAATACGGAAAAAATGTTTTATAATTTTTTTATAGTATAGCAATGTCAAAAGCTATAAGAAAAGCTTCCGTGTTAAGAAAAATTTAAGAAAAATAAGAAAAATTTCCGTGTTTACAAGCGGCGGAAAATTTCCCATGTTGACATTGAGTTACATATATCAACACGGCTCTTAGCCAATCAGCGTTCAGAATTTACAAATGCTATATTATAAATTTGTTTAGACCTAACGAGTGAGATGCCCCAAAATTCTGATATTTGCCCATGTACCTTACCATGACATCACATCGCCCCTGGGTTTGATCAGGTGTACTAACCGGGCGGTGGGGCGCAACTCCCCCGCCCCCTCCTGAGAGTTTTTAGCTGCGCAGATTCTGCTAGACAAATCGGCCAATTTACTAGGCCTTCCCGCAGATTGAAATTTGTTTCATTAAATTTTTAATTGCATGTCAGTAGTATAGAGTGAGTAATTTTATACATATCCGTGAAAGAAATGAAATCTTATATAAATGCTGGTAAACAGTTTTACATTTTTTATTATCGTTTTCATATTGAATTTGTGTTTCTACAATTCTGCGCATCTGTGCAGGAGGGGTGTTCCTTCTGTTAGTACTATTTACCATTTATCACTAAACTCGCATGTGAGTATATAGAGGACCGCTTTTAGACCTTACCATTGAAGGACCTTACTGAATACTGGACTTCTAAGAAGCAGGGGCGCCGGAAGCAACATGAAGCGGCGGGGGCAGCCATTTAAAAAGGGCACTTACTCTTGAGCCTTAATTTTTTTTTGGGGGCGGGGGAATGTTCGTTAACATTTCGCTGTATAACGGATACTTCATCAACTTGTAGCTAATACAGTTAGACAAATTTCGGCATGGACTGGAACATTTTTATTCGTTGCATGACACTAAAGACTAAAATGTATTGTAAATTTGTAAAGCAACATGACAGTTGTCAGTTACTTAGGAAGGCTTCCTTTTTCACTTTTTTTCACAGGTGGAAACTGATTGGTAACGTTTCTGAGAGGAAACGTAAGGCAGCTGCCCCTGCTGCCCCCGTGGCTCAGGCGCCCCTGCTAAGAAGAACATGCAGTTAAAGAAAGAATGTTAAGCCGTATTTACAAATTCTCCCTATTCAAACTATCTTAATTTTTGAGATATTTGAAAGCAAAATATCTTGAAATCCGCCATCTTGTTTTAGAATTAAATCTGATGATTAAATGACGTCACAACCACTGTAAACTTTTTTAAAAAATAAAAAATATTATCATTGGAATGTTCAGCTTGATACATAACTTGTGCTTTAATTTTAAAGTGCCTATGACACGAAATTTCACCCCAAATGTTTATGATTGCATTGTAAAGATCACTTAAAATGACTTAATAATTTCTTTTATAGAATTTTGGTAACTTGCTTCCTTTGCAAGATATTCAACTTTGTTTCATTTGCAAATATCACCGGTGTGACATCAACATCGCATAATGACATTTTGAAAACGCAATAAAAAATTTTATTGATAAAAAAATACCTTGATAAAAAATTTTTACAATGAAATACAGAGGGTTATTTACCAGTTATGAAATTAATACATATACAAGGGCAATTTTTAGTTTTTTAGACACGTATTCGTCAAGAAAACTATACTTTTCTGAAAACTCATTATGTGATGTGATGTGATGTGATGTGATGTCACAAGTTGAATATCGTGAAAAGGGGCAAGTTACGAAAATTCTATAAAAGAAATTATTAAGTCATTTTAAGTGATCTTTACAATGCAACCATAAACCTTTGGGGTGAAATTTCGTGTCATAGGCACTTTAAAATAGGCATGAAATAGTAGAAAATACGATTTATCATTAAAATGGCCTGGGAATTCCCAGGAAACAAATACAAAATAATTATATTCACGATATACTAGTAATGTTACTCTGTTTGTGACGTCACCCTAGGGGTTTCCACAAGTTGCTCGGCAACTTTTTGGCAACTTTTCATTTTATGAGCAACTTTTGTTTTAAACGGCAACTTTTGTAACTTCGAGCACCTTTTCATGAATTTGACTCTTCGAGCACCTTTTCATGAATTTGACTCAAATTCATGAAAAGTTGCTCGAAGTTACAAAAGTTGCCGTTTAAAACAAAAGTTGCTCATAAAATGAAAAGTTGCCAAAAAGTTGCCGAGCAACTTGTGGAAAGCAGTGGAAACCTTTACTTCACGCACATCCAAGATGGCGGGAAAAGGCAAGTATAATTAATATATTTACCAAGAACGATATAGAAAATCTGCAAAAAGGTTTTGAACTATATTAAATGCCTCTTCCAAATGGGGGAAACTTAATTGTTATTTCTATTTCCCTTTAATATAACTGATTGAACTACCCAGCATTATTTGAATCAGCAAATTCCATCTTTTCACAATTCAGTATTGATAAATCAATGTAGACGAGTGTGTTCTAATTGTGTTATTAATTAAATATATGACTAATTATAATTTACAAGGTAATTTCTGAATAAGGTTATAACGATATGTTGTGACATTAGTTTATATTTTTATATATATTTATATATTAAAGTTTCTTGCTTAACAACTTCATTCATGTGCATTTTACAAAGTGTGATAAACACAATATGTGGACAAAAATGCTTATACATATAATAAGGCAGCAATTCAGTCGAGCTTCCACTGCGCATGCGTTCTACGTCGGGATAAATTGCAGTTAAATCCAAACGCCCTGGTTAAATGTGGTTGAGACTGGACTAATTGGAACAACTGTTCAGTCATCATTAATTTGAACATGCCAAAAATTTCTCAAAGAATATTTAGTTTGCGTATACAGTACAGTTGTTCGCTTTAAATTCGAAAATGTATTCACTTATTCGAAAGTGTACCTTTCTTTATTTTGCTATACACAGAAGCAACCTCGTACCCAGGGCTTCTGCGCTTATTGGTTGTACACAGAAGGGAAAATATGCCAGTGCTAAAGTTATTTAATGACAGTTCCATTGTGACTGTAAGTAAAACACAAATAATGATTGAACAGTTGAATACCTTGACATGCAAATTTTAATGCTTCCAGTTATCCAGGATACATGTTATGATTCATTTTCGATTTAAGCCGGTTACAGACGAGCAATTTTTCTATGACAAGTTTTTATGGACGAGTTTTATTTGCCAAGTGCACGTGTGCATAGGCAACAAATTTTATATGACAAGTTTTCATATGACAAGTTTTATTTACTGGTGTGAACGTGTCAGAAAAAAGTGTTTATCGCCGCCTTGACAGAAAAATTATAATACTAATAGTCTGCTAGCCAATCACATCAAATGCTCAGATTACTTTGACAAGTTTTCTTTGTTGACCCATGCAGACGAACAAATTTTGTACTTTAACAATTTTTTCTATGACAAGTGCACTTGTTCAAAAGCTAGCATGCTAGCTTTTGAACAATTGCACATGTCATAGAAAAAATTGTCGTAGTTGCGCGTACAGACGAGCAAATAAAACTTGTCACATAAAAACTTGTAGAAAACTTGATCGTCTGTAACCGGCTTTATACCAACGCAAAACGCATCATGTGGATGCGCAGTGGAAATTTGAGTTGGCTTATAGACAGTTCCCGAACTTTTTTAAATGCACACAAGACAATCTTGCCACTTCGAGGCTGACTGAATGACTTAACTACGTACTGTACATAACTTAAATTGGATTACATTGTTAGCGTCTCGACTGAGCTACTGTTTCGTGCACTCTCAAGCAAATTCAGAGAATGTCTATGTGGAATGGCGTATTTGCAAAAGTTTGTGCCAATTAACGGTTGCACACGTGGTCTTTGTTTATTGCAGTGGCAGGCAATGCGTTGCATGAGAATATGGTATATATCTTTCCTGACTGATTTCTTCAACCCATTTCGGGCTTTCGTCTTCAGAACGATGATGGCGTACATCTGCCAACTTTACGTTTCTTTTTGTTGCTTCCTTTCAACAGATGATTTGCAGCAGTTTGCGGTAGTTTCATTTTGTTGATAATTCGTCTTGGGGATGCCCACTTGCCTCTTGATTTGCAGTATGATCCACTCGCACAGGGAGACGCAAAACCGGTCTAGAATATATTATGATGGTGTGAGTATAAAGCGCAATAATACAACAACGATAAGTACAAAAGCAACAATAGTGACGACAGCAACTGTAACAAACCAGCACCAACAACGGACATAGTCTCTCATAAACATGATCAACAACAACCTAAGACCACGGTAAGGGCCAACAATAGCAACAACAACAAACAACAAAAAACCCACCACCACCACCACCACCAACAACGACAACGACAACGACAACGACAACGACAACGACAGCGACAGCGACAACGACAACGACAACGACAGCGACAGCGACAGCGACAACGACAACGACAACGACAACGACAACGACACCAGCAGCAGCAGCAGCACCACCACCACCACCATCACCACCACCACCACCACCAACATCACCACCACCATACCACTACCATCACCACCACCACCATCACAACCACCACCACCACCAAGGACAACAGTAAAAGCAGCGTAGTAAGGACATATTCTCTTCTGAACCAAACCTTACCTTTTTTATAAGGCACATTTCCCCAGGCAGTTTATACGCCATGCAGACACCCAGATTTCCTAAACAAGATTTGTTCGGTCCACAGTCAGCATCGGTCTTGCACGTTTTGCTTCCATCACTCTTCGGAAACTGTCGAAACGTCCGAGGAAGACACATTCTTTTAATGTTTCGTCTTTGTCTTGCAACCATGGGACCTGCTACCATAGTATGACAAAATTCGTCTGGTCTGCAGTCACTGTCAATTTGACATTGCTGTGTTTTGTTCTTCTGGGGTAAAGTTAAAACATGCGCGGGAGTGTAGCAAATATTCCAGAAATCATGGCAGAGCATGCCTTTTGGGCACGGAGTGTTTGTACTGCAGGTTTTGGTGGTTTTCTTTGGTGCTTGTGTAACAGCTGGTGTATGTTCAAGACAAATACGAAAATGATCATGACAGTAGAAGTTCGTACCACAGTCGCTTGTCTTGTCACATCTTCGGGAATTCCCGGTATCTCGTCGGACAGTCGACATTGCCGGCCTCGTGTAACAAACGCGGAAGCGTTTGTGACATTGTTCGTTCCTTTTACAATCCTTGGATGTGCGGCAGTACCACGATGGTCGCTTGGTCGATGGCTGCTTGGTCGGTGGCTGATTGTGCACTGTTTGCGATGGAAGGCATATTTTCCAGAAGCTGTGGCAATATTCTATTATCTTGCAGCCTGAATCTTCTGAGCATCTCTTAGCAGAGGTTTTCACAGGCGCAACCGTTACAAGTTCCTGGCGCCTGAGGCAGAGCCGATGAAATTCATGGCAGTATTTGTCATCGATGCAGTCTGTATCTGAGCGACAGTTCTTATTTGCACTGTTTGACGCTCCCTTAGAATAGATAAAAATTAAATTTTAGATAAATTTTAGATAGATAGAAAAATAAATTAGCCATTTGTTTGTTTGTTTGTTTGTTTGTAGCATTTATTTCAACACGATTAAATTCGCAGCATAGCTGATGTGGTCGTGCATTTACATAGTTATGTGCCTAACCCACCCTGTCAACTTTCCCTGTGGGAGGAAACACGGAGTGCCCGGAGAAAACCCACGACTTTCGGCAGAGCGTTGACTTACTCTTTTCACATTAGGACTGGGTTCCAGTCACAATGAGAAGTCCTCATCGAGATTCGAACCTGCGGCCTTAGAGGTGAAAGGCAAGTGCGCTAACCACTTCGCCAAACTCCTGGGTCTAGTCGCACAAATTCCATGTTGGAAGGACAAAAAATGTGGCAGCACACATTTTAATTAAAAGTTTAATGTAAAAAAGGAGATATTTCATTTTTGGTCGGCTAAAAAGTTGATATATTTGATAGTAGATACTTCTACTCTTTCACGTATTTGACGCCCGTCACCATATATTTTGTCCCTCCAAACGGTCACAAGATGCACTGTTATCTCTTTTGGGAAAAGGTTAATTACTATATTTACTATATACGGGGATGCCAAGTTTGGCAAAATTTTACAATAACCTGCCGTGGTATGTGTCTGAACTACCTGAAAAACTCATAGCTCAACGGTCCAGGGTAGATAGTATTCTGCAATACGTTGCTATGGTGTGTGTTCTGAACTATCCAAAAAATTAAAAACACTTCAGTATTTCGATGACCCTTCATGAAGTCAACTGACTAACCTGACTATGGTCCTGAGCTCGAAACGGGTCATTCCTAGCCTGCTAGTAGCCCGGAATTTCGCGTTTTTAAGTTTAGATATACTGTAGGTAATGAGAACCTTTCATATCAATTTAATTTATGTAACAACGGTCCCTAAGTTACCTGTGGAATCGTGAAATTCTACATTCCTAACGAAAACAAATAAGACAAAACGATTTGCATAAATTATGCAAAAAATGACGAAAAGCCGATCATTTTGTCCAGCGGTATTACCCAACAAAAACAAAAAATGGCGGTCGATTCAAAATTACACGTGTATTTAAAAGCTCGATGATTAAAATCTTTTTTGTTTTAACAAATATTTATTCATTTTATCGGCATTTTGAAAGAAAACTATAATTTATATCGGAGAATATCATCATGATGTTGTTTGTTCTAAAACTAATTGCAAACAAACTGAAATCAAGCAAACAAGTCAAATATGTTGGAATTATTCAACGAATATATACAAGTTGACAACGATAGAATTACAACTTCTACAAATCAAGATCTTCACGAGATGTAAATGTAAGTAAATTTGAGAGACTAAAGCTTTTATATATTGTTAATATCAACAAAACTTTATTATCTCATTTTGAAACAATTACCATCTAAATTTTTACACAGCGACTATAGCATTAAACATATTTTCACTCTTACTTTAATACTTACTTTACTTACAAATTTATTTAGCCACGCTGGCCATACACAACATAGTTGTAAAATACAATGTGTTGATTTTCAGATGGGGCGTGTTGTACTGTAATACTTTATAGTCCAAGGGCAGGGACTACACATGTACAAAGAATAATTTCAAACAATCATTAGGCTGCTTTTATCTAACTCTTATCAATTTTTAAGACAATCGTCCACAAAATATATTGAGACTTTTGAAATCATTCCTCCCTCCCCCTATTTCAATGTTGAAAGGCAGCAAAGGCTACTATATCTTTGAAAATGGAACATAACATGTCACTAGAACCGAAACTGTCCCATTTGCAGTTGACGTTTGACATATAATGTTTGAATTAAACAATATTATTCTACAAAACCTCTAGGACTATAAAGTATTACAGTCGATTTCATGAAACTTTGACCACAAATGTTCCGAACTTCGTTGCGAAGTCCGCAAGTTCGTTGCGAAGTTCAAAAGTTAATATTGGAATTCACAAGCCAATTTGCCAGTAAACAAAGTCCCTGACTTGGTCCCTGAAGTAAAAGAAGCCAATCAAATACGTAGTTTACAAACTGGTTTGTGAATCTCATTATGAACTTTTGAACTTCGCAACGAACTTGCGAACTTCGCAGCGAAGTTCGGAACATTTGTGGTCAAAGTTATCTGAAATCGACTGTAAAGATTATATAATGTTAAGTTTATTTTTAATCATATATAATATATTAACTCAGAAACGAATCAGGAATGGATCTAGCTTCCACAGGGACGCTGGAACGGCGGGGGGAGGGGGTTCATAGATGGGACCTTTTAATTGATACGTATTCAGGAAGGGTGCAAAGCATCTGGAGTTGGGTGTTTACATTAATTCTTCAATGTATTTAGTGGAAAGTAAGTTGAAATCGACAATAATACAAGCATTTTAGTCTACTATTTTCTTTCCCGGAAGAAGAAAACTCCACTCCCACTAACCCCCGTAAAATTCTTGATGTCTTGAGATAACATTTCCCGCATCTAGACAGCACATAACTGTTTTTAAACAGTTTTCTATGGAGTTTTTAAACAGGCTTACAATTAATTATTCACATGCATTTGTCACATCTCATTATTGTGAAATTTGCCACATCTCATTACTACTGGTGGTAGAAAAGTACGAATTTTCCAATGACGAACAATAAAAATTAATCTCCTCCCCCTCCCCCCACCGCCCCTCTCCCCCACACTTTTTAATCCAGCATTAATACTAGAAAAACATCACGTGAGCAAAAAGAACAACAGGTCTGAATAAATTCCAGGGCATATTGAACAGCTTGATTTTCAAAACAACAGGTCTAGCCATTGCGGCTGACACTAGCTAAGCGAAAATCGGCTTTGACAGACCGTGTGTGTCAAACAAAACATGCGATTGCGTCATGCGACGACATTATATCATCAACAACTTTAACGATAATTTGACATGATCGAACTTTCTGACATTAATTGTCACTATTTTTGAAATATTTCGTATGCCACATGCGTTGGAATGTGAAAAAAATTATGCACTTACATACGCGACCAGGCCGAAAACAGCAAGTTCAAATTGTTTAAAAACTTGGAATTTGTGGTTCGTTATCAATGTATATGTTTTGACGCTTTATTTTACGAAAAGTTCAGAAGGGTTCTCAAGATATCTTGGTAGTGATAATTTATATTCCATACTTCGACAAGCACACCAAAATTATAATATTACCGCTGTAGTCTAGTGCAAGGGAGTTTAAAACCCAGTTAAATTCGAGGTTCAATTGTTCTTTTTCAAACTTTACTGGTCACTCACGACATGGCATATTTCTGTTGTGATAGTTTGCTGTTTCTTTTAGTTTGTATATTTAGCCATTTTTACCCGCCATTATTACCCACGAAATGGGCGTTGCCCCACTTATATCCCCTCCCCTCGATGTCTAAAAAAGTTCAATATCCTACAATGTGATTCAATTTGATTGAAATTCTATATTGAAAAGTGGTGTTTGAAAAATCCAACTGAAACAGCAGCATGATAAATGCCGTTGATGGAGAGACTAAATAAACATTTTACCAACGACCTCTCCCTTGTTTTACTGACCAGCGTCCCCCCCCCCCCCTCGCGCAAGGTACACCACTGCAAACCAGCGTTTACCACGACAAGGCTGTTGAATCATAACATGTTGCTGAGATAATCAGGGTATCGGACTGGTCAATCATGCATCATTTAAATATGTAAAACGTTCCGCTGAAAGAACAATTAGTTTCCGTATTACGATTGATTCGCTTTATTCCTTTAAATGGACCATTTGCATTATAGACTAAATTTTGATCTAGACAAAAATTTCATCACAGCTTGAAAGAGCATCACAAAATTAGTAATATTCCAAAGTTTCGTTGCGAAATGTTGTAAAATGCGGATAATATAGCCCTGCGAAATTTGCAATTTTCAGTCATTTTGTATTACAAATGGGAAATTGATGCCCCAACACCCGATTGGGCTGTCAATTTCCCGTGCGTAATACAAAATGACTGAAAAACGGTAAACTTCGCATGCCTATATTATCCGCATTTTACAACATTTCGCAACGAAACTTTGGAATATTACTAATTTTGTGATGCTCTTTCAAGCTGTGATGAAATTTTTGTCTAGATCAAAATTTAGTCTATAATGCAAATGGTCCATTGGAAGGAGATACACTTTATTTTGCTTTACACTGAAGACAAAATATGCCAGTACAAAAAATGATTTGACAATTCTATTGTGGCTATAAGTGGAACACAGGTAATGATCGAACAGCTGAATACTTTGACAGGGCTCATATTTTTTTGTGGCAGTGCAAGCAAAATTCTATTTTGGGTTTTGAGAGGTAAATATTGTTAAAATGCCAGTATTTTCAAGTAATTAAAATGTGCGTGCACAAATGCCCGCGCATTATAATTCAACTGTAATTTATCCTGAAGCAGAACATGTCATCTGGAAGCGCAGTTGAAATGTAGTCTGAATTGGCTTAAACTTTATCCCGTCCCAGTTAAGACTGTATGAATTGGCTTATAGAAATCGCCTTATATCAGTAGGAAGATATTAGCAGTGTTTTGACTGTATTTAATAAGCTTTATTTTTATTGATTTCTTACGAAGAAACCCGACTGTGGCACAGTATGTTACTAATTTGCGCAAAAAGGAAACATCAGCAGGTTTCCAAACAAAGAATCAACAAATGTTTCGAAAACATTTCACCTGGGGTCGGTTGTACCAAGGCCGGATATCGCTATCCACCGAATAGCAATTTTTCAACCGTTGTAAAAAAATGCTTGAAAAGTGAAAAAATTACGAATATGCCGGAATCCCACTAATTAATAAAAAAACTCTTTAATTTTTGTATACTATATATTTGAAAAAATCACATTTCGCGGTGGATTCTGCTATATCCTGCTTTCGTACAACCGATCCCTGATCGAAGTCTTCGTCTTTCCACTAAAGTCTCAGTGACGAAAGACCTATTCGCTTCTTTACTGTATTAAGCCCTGATTCCACGAGCGCCTTTTGTTGGCGAAATGCGAAATATTTCGCCTGTTTCTTTTGAATTGTGAGCAATCAAGTAGAAATAATTTATTCGAGTGGACGCAATTCAAAAGAAACTGGCGAAATATTTCGCATTTCGCCGAGAAAAAGCGCCCGTGGAATCAGGCCTTAACACTGCTTGGTATAAAGGACGTGAAACTTGGGTGTTGATTGCACAGCGATAATAGTTTAAAACTCCAACCAATAGCAAGCCAACTATACTGTACTGTCGAATCACTGCTGAATCACCACCGCGGGTCGCCAATTGCGTCCAAATTTTTCATCTGCATGGCGACCCTGAGAAAAAAACTTAAAATAATAAAGTAACTCCAAAGCCTTAAAATATCTCAGTGATGAAGAAGTATTTCATTCTACTTTTGCATCAAAATTGCCAACATATTAAACAACTATTTGCTGTGTTGGTGTAATGTACTCGAACCGTCCTGACCGCGTAGCTCAGTTGGCAGAGCATTGGGCTGGTATTCCTAAGGTCGTATAGGTTCGATTCCCAACGTGGTCAGGCATATTTTTCAAGCTTGCCCGGTGTGGATATACACTCAGAGTAACATCACACATGCAAGCATATTAAGCAAATGTTTTTTATGTTATCTATATTTTTGACTATAATATATATACAAAGTGAATACTTCATTGACATAGCTCATATAGGACGACCTGTATGATATTAAATTTGGCGATCAGATCTTATTCACTGGGCGACTAAAATTTTTAAAAAAATTCAACCTATATCAGTATGCATCCCCACTATAGGCACTATACTCGCATTTATAATGCTGCTTATGAAACTTTACATCAAATAATTTTAAATCGCCATTTAAATGCATGCAATGAGCCCATATTATACCCTTCATCTTATTTTTAACACTGATTTAAATCAAGCCCACACACTTGCAAATCTTCAAACTGTTTCCAATCAGTACGCTATTAAACTAATATATTAGCAAAATCATGGTGGTCCTCTCAGGTATGGTATAGCTAAATCGCCTTAATGAATTGACGATGCGCAAAATATTCAAAGATTTTCGGATAAATTTCCTAATATGGAACGCGTAGTGCTTGGGGGTAATTTGGATTCGGGGTCGGTTTCATTGTATGGAAGAAGAAAAACAAAAACAATAGCAAACGTGTGTCAACTGGGGGTGATGAATTAGATTGTGAATGACTGAATGGTAAACCTAATTTTAGTGTGCGGTGATAACCAACTATTTGTGCAGCGATCAAAAATGAAAGCGTACACGTGCAGTGATAAACAGTAAAAATGTGCAGTGATAACTGCATTTGCTGTGGTAATTTTTTATTAATTAATTAAATCAGTTAATGCAATTAAAAATATTCGAGTGTTTTCCAAATAATTATGTGCGATAAAAGCATCAAATGCACTGTTTTGGATGATAGTATACTTTTCTATTTTTAGTGTGGAAAAAAGCCTGATTTGGTTAAAAAAGTCTTGCCATGGATTGATTGCCTTTAGTGGCCAAGCGTGGTTGTATTTTCGGTCTATCTGTAAACGGTGTCGCCTGTAAAATTTCCTTGGGGTACCAGTGATTAGAGGTGTGCATTGGATCGGATTGGACGTTTATAATCCGACAATTGCCCAATGTTTAAAATCCGATCCGATCCGAAATTGTCTAATCCGAATCCAATCCGAGTTTTGATAAATAATTCCAATCCGATCCGATCCGAAGAATTCTTTAATAAAATAATTTTCTCATTCAAGTTGAAATATTTAACCAAATAAATATAAAAGCAAGAAATACATGTCAAGAAGCTGACAAAGAGACGTCCAATTGAAGTATCAAACGAATAATGCAGCGACAACCGCGATAATGCTTTGATAAATCCATGGATAATTAATTCTTGCGATAATGCGTGGATAATTCATTTTATTTCGGATATCGAAGTCCGATCCGATCCGACTACGAAACAACTTTATCAATCCGATCCGATCCGAAATGAATATTTTGGTTCCGAAATCCGAACGGATCGGATTCGGATCAGTTTCGGATAGGATTTGCGCACACCTTTACCAGTGATCTCCGCACTGACAGACCTTCTATTGCTTAATTAGACTGAAAGTAGTCATAAGAAATTCATAAAATTAGGTATGGTGAATTGAGTGTCTCTCTGTTACCACTGACGCGTTGGGCGCGGAATCGGTAAGTCAAAAATGTCTGAAATCATAATTTCGTTAAATACAAAACAATAGTAACTCCAAAAACGGTAAACATTTTCAAAAGTGTTTATTCGACGTTTTGACCATGGATTTTAGTCATTGATCATTTTAACCATGCCAGCTTTTTGACAACGAAAATGTATTTGTGTGTGTGGCCGCCAGTGGAACTTGACAAGTGCTATGCACACGAAATACCTCCATGGTTTTGGGAAACAAGCCCTAATAAAATATTTTTCTTCCTGGCAACAGGCTTCCCAGACCAAAAATTTCCTGCCAATTTTTTTTATAAATATGAATTTTGGTTGTAATTCAATAACAGCGTCGTATATACTACCTTACTAAGTGTTTAGGAACGAACTTTCCCTAAGTCTCATGTTATTAGTATATTTTGTGTTCAATATATAGACCACAGTAAGACTTTTTTTAAATGTTTATTTCATTAACAAACGACGTTTCGGAGATTTACTCCATCTTCAGGTAGGATTACAATTTGAATTTAAACTAACATGCATGTTAGTTTAAATTCAAATTGTAATCCTACCTGAAGATGGAGTAAATCTCCGAAATGTCGTTTGTTAATGAAATAAACATTTAAAAAAAGTCTTACTGTGGTCTATATATTGAACACAAAAAATACCTTACTAAGTCATATACTACCTCAATATTAAGAAAAATATAGGTTAACTAGAATTAGGAACATGAAGGAATTCTATGAAACAATATTTTAATTTTGTTTGAATTTATATCAGTATTCATGCACTATTCAATAATAGTAGTACGCCCTTGTTTTCCACATGTATCATATCACGGAATCATGATAACAGACAGTCGTATATAGCACTGCCACATGATACAGTTTTTTTATGTTGTGATTGTTGTATTTATGCTCCAATTGTGATGTTTGTTACTTTAATGCTGATTTTTGAAATTTCTCGAGCTTCATTCTTGATATCTTTCTTTTCCTTAAAAATTTCCTGTGAGATTAAAAAAAATTCCTGCCTGCTATGCTGGCAGACTTTCTCATGCCTTGTTGGGAAACGAAGCCGCTTTGACGCAAGATAAATGTTTAATAGCATTCCATGCACAGGAGTAACAAGGCGTGTCAAGGGAAACTTGTCAAGGAAAAAGTAATCGTCTGTATGGAGAGTTTGTTATTAATATCACAAGCAGTATAAGTTTTAAAGAAACTAGTTTTATAATTTATACTGTAAAACTAAAGTAGTAATTATTTGTGCTATCATACCTTTTGACTAAAAATTGGCGCAAATTATGTACTGTAATCAAATATGGCGGGGAAATCCTCAGCAAAGCAAAGCGCAATGTATGCATCAGTGTTCCTATGCGCCATGGAAAGCACTGCATTTTTATTTTAGTTCTGGAAAGTTGGAAACTTTTTTAAAAGTCCTGGAATTTCGAAGTGACCCTGGGAAAACTAAACGTGTGCATGTGTAACATTCTGTTTCAATCCGATTAATTATAAAACTTTAATTCTTGCCTACAGCATATCGATCTTTTTCGATCAGTGTGATATCAATTGAGAGCGATATTTATAATGAAATACTTGCCGACTTGAAAAAGCGACATGAAAAAGGTTTTTGAAAGTGCTGGATCTTTTAAATTATGAAGATGTACGAACTTTCTATTATTTTTTCATGAATTGAACATGGCTAATTAGAAATTATGGGTAAATTTTTTTGTCTGCTATTATAACTATGGGCGTTTCTTCACATATAAAACTATTCCAAGCACTCACAAAACATGTTTTCTCCATTAGCCTAACATATTTTGAACACATTTGTTTTAAATTAGCCTCCTCGCGATTTGCCAGTTGAATAAACTTAACATTGAATAGCGGTGTTGACGGAAATGGTTAAAACGACAATCGATAAAATCCATCCAAATCTCCACATGAATGTGCTGAGTTTTTCCTGCTAGACAAATTTTGTATGTTGGATTAAAAATATTAATGCGTCATAGGGTGAAAATAGAGTATCTATTTAAATGCCCCCTTCTGATGCGCACCGTATGTTAAATGCATGCACAGTTTGTTAAATTGCGTGTGCAATTAAAGCTTTAATTTGTAAAATTTGTAAGATGTTTGTGACTCATTTGTGAAACTGTTTACCAGACAGATTTTAGACAAGACGTTGAAGGAAATGCGCGAGATGCATTCGCGATGCAACTTGAAACGCAATTTATTCATACTGAGCAATGATTCTATGTAATAATTGAAGTTTCAGTTGCAAAGTGATTCTGAATACCTTAATTACTTGCATTTAAATTTGCGCAGTATTAGAGTTCGCGCAGACATTAGGTGCACGCAATTAATGAAAAAGTAGTCCGCGCGAAACCGTAAACGCGCGAAAAATAATCCATGTGTAATTTTTTGCGTAGTGAGAAAATACTGATAGTTAGACGGGAAATTAGAAACTGTTTCCTATGACAGTATGCATAATATGTATTTGGTATCCTTCTGTCAAACTTATCGTGTAATTTTACGAGTTCAAATGGCTTGAAAATTTTAATAAGCACTTTGGTGAAAATTTTTAGACTCCATTGTCATTTTAACGCCGGGAAAGTGTGATTTTCTAGTGTTGTACTGTTTTAGGTGCAAAATTAAAAATGAAATCGCGTAAATTTATTAAATTAAAACTGCCCGAATAAGTACCATCAGCCGATGTGAATATAAATAGAGATAAGGTTAGGACTAAGAATTTAAATAAACGAAGCACGATCGCACACGACCGTTGCTCATGAGTCACGTGTAATTAAGACACTGATTAAGGTATTCGTAGATGTTTTTGACTCATTTATAATAAAGTTGTTTACGCCATACATCTAAGTAATATTCTAGGCGCGTTCTCAAACAGGAAATGAGAGGCATTCATATAATAAGGACAGGTACAATAAACTGTCATGGTTTGTGGCTGCATTATCTGAAAAAGATATCTCGAACGTGGCGGTCCAGTGTAGGTAGTATTCTATACAATAAGCTGCCGTGGTTTGTGTCTGAACTACCTGAAAAGATTGAAAACGCTTTGACGATAGAGGATGGACTTAAGGCTATGTATGTACAAAGGACGCTTCAGTAATCTTGCCAATAGTCTTGTATGTACTATTTACAACATGAGCGACTCCTTCACTCTCATGATTTCTTTGTGTTTTCTTCATGAATTATTAATAAGTTTCACAAAATCTTTATACAGTACAGCGCTATTTATTCAACTATTGCATTATACTCGACTTTATCTTTTATTTAGCATCTTTGTGATCAAACATAGCTAATCACTAGACCTAACATGCCAGTTCTAATAAAAGTTAAGATTAAGTATAACTCTAGGGCATATTAAAAAGCCTTCGGGTAAAAATAACTAATATGTCTATAAATTCGATTATTATGCCGTTAAAGAACCACAACACAACGTTCTCTGAAATCAGTAATTAGTAAAATTCCGCGACTGAAAATTAAGGCGTGGTTCAAGTAATCCCGGATAATTTGCCAAGTACTTGTGATTGTGGTAATAGTTTTAAATATAATTTTTTACAGTTCAAATTATTAGTCTTTACTAACTAATTTTAGAGTCATGCAATTAATATCTATATAATATTTCGCAACATATTAGTAGTCTTTAATAATAAGAGTAAAACTGATCAAGGTTTTACGATTGGGGTTTCGATTCCTGCAACATGTAGTTGTTTGATTGCAATTTTTTAAGTGCCATGTAAAACTGGTACTTCTTGTTTAAAATGTAGTTTAACTTGCTGACGCATTGTGTAAATACCGCAGCTGTTCTCGAAGTGACAAAGTATACTAGTTTCCTACTGCAATAACACGACTGGACCAGTTTAAGGAGAATAGTTTAAAACAAACAAAGCTATCAGTAACTTAAAATGTGAATAATTTGCGTCATAATGAATATCACGTAACATACTTATATTATTGATTCCAAAAATATTGCGCACTAAGCACTCAAGTAATGATCTGATGTCAAGTGCCGTGTACTCTGGCTGTAACCAATATCATGCATGTTAGCATGTAAGCCAATTGCAAGACGGGGTATTGTTAATAGAATTAAATATATAAGCGAGATTTAGTTGTGGGTAGTATGCGTCTATTGGTAGGTTGGCCGGCAGATCGTTTGCAATCCACATCAAGAATTGTGACATGCATTTATAGAAAGAACAAATTAAACTACGCACCCCAATTCTTTACTTTTACATCAAAATACTCGAGTGGTGTATATGTTTAAAAAAATACAATTCTCAGGGTGGTCTGGCAACAGGCAGACTTCAGACTGCTGTACTATATTAACATGCATTACCCACCTATGAATTACTACAGCCTAAAACACAGGCGGCAAAAGATTTGTTTCGTACGTTGCGTGGATTAAACAGAAAATTTTGAAACTGGTGGGCCTATTATGGTATCTCCTGCGTTCTGGTGAAAGAGTTCAAAGGCGTGCAGAAACTATGTCATTTTGTGCATTTACATTTCAGGAGGAAACGAACCTCATACCTTCATAATAAATTATCCTACTCTGATCGTTTTTGAGGGTAGGAGTGTGTGGTGCTCGGTTCCTTCACTTCTACTTTTGGGAGGTCTCAGCTAGCCCCCATAGCCCACCCGGTTCCGTCGCCTATGGACAAGTAATAGCCCCTACACTATGTTCAAGATATTTCAACAGCCCGCAGAGTAATTAAAACTTAAGGTACTTGATGAAAACCTTTACAGATGTTTTAATAAGATTTTGAAGTGGATTTTGAAATATGCTTTTTTAGAAAAATCGTAAAACCTGAGTAAAATCTGAGTTCCACACAACTTTACATCGGATGAAAAGGTTGAAGTAAACTTCAAGCAAGAAACGCAATTACACTACCGTCAAAGCGAGTGTAATTCAAGACATAAGTAATAAATATAGGAGAGCGGATTTCTTTAACCTGATGAGTTCCGTCGTTATTTTCAAGTTGAGTGGTTTTTCCGAGAGTTGTAAATATTTCCTTATCAGAAGCATCAACACCCACTTGAAAGGATTTTATAGCTTTATGTCTGATCACCGTGGTCTGATCTTGCTCACGATATCTGCCTTCGAATTTTTCTCGGATATAGTGAACAAGCTACATAGTTTAATGTGTCAGACAATCTCCATTTCCGCAGTGCGCACGAAACGCTAATGATATTTATTTTATTACATTAACATTATACGCGCACTGCGCGCAATTCTAAATTGTTTAAAAACCAGCCAATATGTCGTTATCTAAGTTATAGGCAATAGATTAGACCATTTATTAAGTGTAAATACTTGATTCTATCAGCAACCTCACAATTTTTATTTGCGCAGACAACACTAAAATATTATTTATGTCACATTAACCTTGTACGCACACTGTGTAGTCTATTCAAAATAGATTTAATTCTGAGGTATAAGTAAGTTTATTTAAGTATAAACTATAAAATACTTAATTTTATCAGAATCAAACCAACAACACATGTCTTCGTTTGTGCAGAAAGCACTTCAAATATTCGCTTAATTAACATTAACGCGCATCGGCGAAATCGTTTTAAACTAGCCACTATGGGTCTATGACGTATGATCACGTATATATGATATAAGAAATGGATTAGCCCATATATTATAGAATAGATCCTTGACCCTGGCAGTAAAATTACATTTATTTTTTAGTTTATTTGCATAATTCCCGCATGGTTATCATAATATGCGCAATGGTGCGCAATTTAAGGTGATATTAAGAAACTAATCGCAGATTAAATTATTTAAAGTTCAAGTAACAAATTTGCGCAATTGTTATAAAAATATAACAAATTGCTCTACTAGCGGAAACACAATGTTTTATGTTTTCTGTCAATGGGATACTATGATCGTGCGCTGAGTCACTTGTATTTGAAATCTAAATGCATTCTGAGCGTATACTAATTCGTAACAACTAATGAAATCCCGCACGCGTCACAATGTGAATACCTAGATTCTTTCAAATGAATTTTGCGTATATCTAGTTTAACATTGCGTGTCAATAAACGCGTGCCAGTTTAATATGCGCCATTTGAAATCCCAAACAAATACGAGTGGTGTTATTTGAAAACTAAACAACCAGAAATAGCCTACACGCGCGAGTATTAACACTGTAAATACATAGATCTTTACTGATCTATTAAACTAACTTTCCAAGTATAAGCCGAACACAGCGGGATTAAAATCACTACTTTTGACAAACCTCGTTCAACTTTGAAATCCTCTGATTCGTTTCCTGATATGAAATACTCGAACCCAACAGACAAACAAAGATCACCGTCACGCTCAGGAATGTTGCCATATCGTCAAGTAAAAAGGTCAAGAACGTTTCTCCAACTCGTCAAGGCGAACTGCTTGCCGTTCTCGTTCAGTGTTTTTAATTTATAGTTTGTACTCAAACAATCGAAATTAATTACATGTCATCATGTCATCGGGTCAGTCACAGGCCACGGTTTGATCGCGTTTATTCGTTGCAGCTTTGACAATTCGTTGACAGATACCGCAAGATTTAAACTGCAGATAATCTTGCTTCCTGCCTCGCATGGTGTGCTGCGTATACGCCCCCTGCTCGCAGTGGGAATACTGTGCCCCTGCTGCCCCACGATTGAAGTGAATCAGCAAAAGTTTCATCTATACTTTTACCCATCTCTAGTCCTAGGCCGACCTCCCTAGTCCTAGGCCGGGGTCGATTGCCCGTACCCCTTCCCTTCATCATTTTCTGTCAACATGTCCTTTCATGATATTTAGATCTTCTTTTACACAATCAAACCGTCGCCTTTTCGGCCTCCTCTGCCGTCTGTTCCCTTTATCTCCAGCTCCATAATGTGTTTAAGGGGCCTCGGTTGCGCAGTTGTCAGAGCAAGATCGTGGTTTCGATTTCTCTGCGGACTCGCTCGACGCTCATGACACTTCAGTGTGAAAATAGTCGGTCAACCCTCAATCGAAAATCGTGGGTTTTCGCCGGGTACTCCGGTTTCCTCCCACAGGGAATGTTTACAGTGTGGTTGGGATAAGCCCCAAATCGAATCTTCTTGCATATATAGCTGTACTCCAGTGGTCAGACGCGCGTCATAACGTGGCTGCCAGAGGCACTCTTAGAAAGCCTTCAATTCGAAAGCCTTCAAATCAGGTTGAACTGCGTCCTCCACAATTCAGCTTAGCTCTCAGCGGCAAGTAAGGATGGTTAGCACACACCCACTTCCCACCGGGCACACGACGTTGTTTCAACGTTGAAATTTGGTAGAAAAAAGGTTGCGACGTCGACAACCTAATATCTACGTTGCTCTGACGTTGTTTTAAAAACATTGGTTCAACAGCAGTCAACAGACGTTGAATCAACGTTCATTCATGGTTAAATGTACGACGTCGATTTGTGAAGTAATCTCAACGTTGTTTCAACGTTGATTGAACGTTGAATTATGGTTGACGAGATTGGCAACCTAATTTCAACGTTGTTTCAACGTCGAAACAGTAACGTCGATCCAATTTGCATAGTCAACCCTTTTTCAACGTCTATCCAACGTCTGAAGGTCATTTCCAACGTTGATTCAACGTTGAATAAACGTCATTTTGCCCGCTGGGTTACTTACTTAAACTGGCTCTCCTTCATTTCTCTCGTAATATAATTTTTTCCTTCCTCGCCTAGTTTTCTCCGATATCCACCACCTCACATCTTCTGATCTCCTCATTCAAGTCCCGGTCAAATGGAGATGGGAGTTCCAACTCTCCGGCATCAACTTTGAGCTAGTTCAAATTTTTATAAGAGCTGAGAGTTTTGCTCGTTTGACCAGAAATATATCAAGTCAACTAGGAAGCTATTCTTCAGTTCTTGGCTAACTCTCATAAGCTTTCATCCTCTTTAACCGTGGCTATAATGTCCTTTACCGTCTTTTTTCTTTATTTCATTAGGTTTCAATCTCAACCCTGCTTCCTCACTTCAGTTCTTCGGAATATCTAGCTCTTTACCACTTTTCGGATCTCTTAATTTCTAATCTTGAAAAGCAAATTTCTTTCTGAAAAATGAAATCTGGACTAGGTTTTGTCCCAAAATCACAAGCGAGCTTTACTCATAACAAGGAGCTCAAGAAGCCGTTCGTTTATTATAATATAAATATGCGGCTCAGACAAATTTAATTTTAAAAAGACTGGACCAAAGAACTAATTACATTACATACTATCGTATGTGTACATAAGCCTGTAAAAATAATCCTCTATATCATTGGATTTGCCAGAGGCAGGGCATTTTCCGGCTAAGCCATTAGAACAACTGGGGCATGCACAGCCGTAATGAGGGCTTTCCCCCAATCAGTGGCGTAACGCTCATTGGATAGGGTTAGTTCAAAAACTAAGGGCCCCCGACAGTTAGGGGCCCCCATCACTGATCAGTCACGGCCTATCGCCCATAAAATTAGAAAACGTAAAAAATGCAGGTTGAGAATCAATGGGAAAATGCAAAATTAATAATGCTATAAATAGTAAAGCCTTTACCGACAACGGTAGCTGTTTTTTTATTCCATCTCAAATAAAACAAAAGTTATTCTTATTAGTTGTCATATGTGTTGGAGACTGTTATTGTTTTGGTTATAGAATAGACACGGAATTTTTCGGAACATTCCATAAATATTCAATATGTAAATATAGTATCTCAGTCAAACAATGACAACAGTCAAGATGCAGGGCCCCCCACACCAAATATGCCCCCCCCCCCCCTTCTTCATCCGTTACGCCACTGCCCCCAATCCCACTAAGACCATTGACACATATATAAGAGAGAATCTCAAGTAGCTGGGCAGGTGACGAAAAATGAAAAGTGACGGAAATTTCTTTTGAAAACTGGCTCAATGTCCCATCCCGGCCTAGTTTTATTTACTGAAAATAGAAGGTATATATATATAACTGAGAACTGGTTTATACGATGTTATATAGAAGATGAAGTATCCTGCTATTCAAGGGGCTATGTGAAGTGTTGTTTTGGCTTTAGGTTTAAACTATTAAAGTAAACGAAGTGACGAACAGTGCATGTGTTTAGTCTAGATAAATCTACTCGTTGTAAATTAAAGGTCAGGGCAGGTTGTATGAAGGTCGCATAGGGGGCGATTTTTATAAATAGCGATTTTTATAAATCGTTCTAGAAAGTGTTCGTTAATTGGTTTATATATATATTACCCAGATTAAACTTTAGTATTTATAAATTAAAGTTCTTTTTATTATTTGTGAGTTTCATATTCCTAGTTTTAAAGCTTTTCAAGTATTTTCACAAAGATTGAAAAAATCGCTATATCCAGTGCATAGAGTCTCTGAAATGGCATTTCCTTCGTTCTGGGGAAGATTTCAAATGACTACCTCAACGATCGAAACAGTGATGCTAACCACCCACAACAAGTGTTTCAAGCCATGACCGCTGTCAAAAACCAACTCGTCTGCATTTATTTATTTATTCATTAACTTTACAATCATACAAAAAATTATAACAATGATTGGAGGTATGATGGTGAACAGGACATGAGTCCCATGTGAAGACCAACCTGATACAAAACAACAAGTAGACATACATTAAAGACAAGGACTGGAACACTATTTACATAGCTATATAAAAATTAATAGTTTAGATTATGCATCATGAGCAACAGCTTATAAAGTTGAGAGAACGGCATTTAGAGCAGTAGGTTTTCCAAGTGCGCATTCTGTTAACATCGAAAGAAGAGTCTAATTGAGAAGAGTAGTGAGAATGGAGCTGGAGCTTAAAGGATGGAACAGACGAACTGTTACGAATGATCGGAGAGAGATTGTTCCATAGAAAGACAATTCGGTTAAAAAGAGAGTTTCTAAAAAGAGAGGTTTATATATAAGGGCTGTTGGGCTGTTTTGGATTTTCAAATCTATTCACCTGAGAATTCACCCTCTAAGTTTTATATTTAAATTTACGTTTGGTTTTAATTCAGATAAATCATTTTGATAATTCGACCGGTCCATATAGATCCAAACATCTCAATTTTTTCCGATTGAATGCAACAATTTGCCGACTCGCGTACACTTAGCGCCGTCTCTGCATGAATAGTACTGTGGAACTATATTACTTATAATGCCACTGTGCAACCATAGAAGAGCCGTGTAATCATTATTCGTAGGGTCAGTTGACGTATCATGGAATTTTAACCGCGATAAGACTCATCAGCAAACCGATGTCTTTGCAAAAACACCCAACCCTTCCCGGTGTCAAATTATCCCAACGCAGCATGCCAGCTATAGACATTGGGTTGGATAGTGATTTTTCATCCGTTGTCAAAATGCTTGAAAAGTTATAAAACTGCGGATATATAGAATCAACGAACAATTTAAAAAGGGTTGAAAAAATCACTATCAGGTGGTTAACGTTATCCGGCTTTCATACAACCGACTTCTTATCTTTAAACTAAACTAACTTCATTTATTCTGGATACTAGTTTTACCGGTTTTCAACTGTTCTTCATAGACGTCTATATAATAAAGGTCTGTAGATGATCTCTTTTTGGTCCTGCATGCATGATCATGCATATGCATGGGAGAAACTCCGAACTAAGTAATCTCCACTTTAGTTAAAGTGGATATATAGCTCTATACGCGTTCTAAATAAATGTCCAGTTAAGACCATCTCCTTTTTGTTTTTGTATATGTACTATAGAAGAGGAAATCGGAAAAGCAGCTGTGCTTGGCATCTTTTTAAGTAAGCGACTGTCGTGAGAAAGTATGCGGCTGTCCTCAATGTAGGAACGAATATTTTTAATAATGAAATGAGTTTTGTGACTAATTTTTGTACATTTTTCGTTCGCTAAATTAGCTTAGCAAGCTAAGCCCAATTAGTTACAGTATAGTTTAAGTTAATTCTTTTCAAAAGGATATATGTTATTAAGCACATCAATAGGATCAATGCGAGTAGAAAGAGATATATTAAATTTTCTTCTTCTTGGCCTTTGAACATATATATAATGATAGTTCACAACCTCACACTATGATGCACTTTAGTTTGCTCCAGCGTAATACCATAATTAATTCTCGGAAACTGGGCCGTTATCATGTATTTAAAGCCAAAATGGCGAAGGATTATCCTAACGATGTTGATCTTTGTCTTCATTTGTATATCTTTACAGTACAGGATATCCTGAGCGCTGCATTAACAAGGAACAGCGTCAATACACTAATCGGATTGTTTGGCAACTTTTCATGGTGAGTATATGAATGTTTTATAAACTTAGTAAGTAATATAAAAACTGATACAGCACGTGCGGCCCCGTACGTATATACAGACTTGAACCGGATGCAGTATATAGCTTGTGAAACGTCAGTAAAGATTTCAACAGTTTCGTTTTACTCAGAGAAATTATTCGAAAGGAGTGCTTTTAACTGAGAAAATAGAGCACTATATGCATATGTTTACGTATAGTACGTAAATCAGGAGAATTTTGTATATGTGTGGATAC